TGCATGACAAATTTAAAGTTGCAGTCATGATATAAAAGGGAATGTTCTGTGATAATTATTTAAAAAATTGTACTATTCGTCCTTATATTAGGATAATAAAGTTTGTTTCTGATACTTTTAATAAATTTTAAGAGTAAATCTTTATTTGAGATATTAAAGAAAATTAAAAATATTAAATTAGCAATGTCGACTAAATTATGGTTCTTTCACTAGTTTAATTTTCAGGGTTGAGATGGGAAAATAAATTTGTATTTGTATGCCATCATCAAATTTAGAAAAAGCATACAATCTTGTGTTACCATGCATTCGAATCTTTCAAGTTTACAATTGTTTGAGATACTAAAGAAAATTAGCAATATCCCAATGAGTTTTTTATTTTTCTCAAAATAGTTTTAATAAATTTTAAGTGTGCAAGAGTCTTTATTTTTACATATTAGAGTAAATTAAAAATATTAACAATATCCCGTAGTCATACCTAGCCGGAATGAATTTTTTTTTTTTTGGGATTGTAACCCTCAAAACCTACTATACAATGGGTATAGGTGGATTGTAATGGTTAATTGGGTTGGTAGGAATTGCAACTTAGTTGAATCCTAAAAATAATTGTTAGCATTCAATTTTTTTAAGTTCGTTTGAGAAATAGTTCGTTTAAGTTCCGTTTTGAGTCACTCCTCTCTAATTTGCTAATTTAAAAAAAACAAAAAAAAAAAAAAAAAAAAACTATTGTCAAGATAATGCAAAGGTTAAACCAGTTGAATTGATAATTCAAATAATTGTGAAAAATATATTTGCTAAACAAAATCGTGTTATTTATTTTTTTATTTTTGTTATAATCCCAAATCCATGAGTATGATTGTATGAATAATGAATGTAGCCGTGAGATCGACAGGTACGAGTGTAGCTCTGTCCAACTTACTTTCTCTCCAATTTAGCTTTTTCTCTTCATTCAAGCTATAGTTTATCAGAAACCACCAGACACCATGAGCGATTCAATTGGGGACCCAGTTCAAGTCAAACTCTTATGAATCAAGTCATTCATAGATAGACCTTTTATTATAACTATACCACATATATAGGTTGAAATGATTGTTTAAACCTGGTTTATACGGCATGATAAATGATTATGCTTGCTACTTGAGATGTACTGAATGCAGAATGTTTGACCCAATTAACTAACAATAACACTAATTAAATCCTACTACGTGTGTCTCAATCAAAGATTATGATGCACAGCAAGTTAATTATTATTTATAATTTTATTCATTTATTTAATTTTTATTTTGTTTTTTTTAATATAAATAAGAACGTATTGCGCTTCTCTACACTTGAATCCTTAATTATTTATTTTTAAAAAAAACTAGAATTAAACTCTTAATTAGTGATAACACAGTGCAAATCCATGCCTTCCAAACAAATTTAAAAACTCATGCTTATATATATTACACACACAAATATAAGTTACATACTAGGTAGTAGTATCATGATTAACACAGTGAAATTGATACGTAACTTTGGATTATAAAAAAAAAAATGGGATTTACATTTTGGGTTGCTATATAAATTGAATGGTCAACTCAGTGTGGAAGCTAGGTTTTACAGATACTGGATGTCCCTCAGATAGAAGGTTTACTACATGCTATTGCACATTTGTAGAAGGAAATCTTGTTACATGGAAGGGTAAGAAGTAAACAGCAGTAGCTTGATTTAGTGCTGAAGCTGAGTACAGGGCAATAGCTCGTACTACTAGTGAATTGACATGGATACAATATTTTTTAGAGGAACTTGGGTTGACAATCAAAGCTCCTGTTCCATTGTTATGTGATAACCAAGCAATTGTTCACATTGCATTCAATACTATGTTTCATCAAGGAATACATCATTCGAGAAAAAATATCAAGTGGGAGCATTTGTACTCTATTTGTAAAGCTTGAAGTCAACTAGCTGATATGTTTACTAAAACGTTGAGTCATAATCGATTAAGAACTATCTATTTCAAGCTGAGATTTATATGATATATATTCTCCAGATGGTCCCTAATATTTTTAAAACCTCATTCAGTTAGGACCACCATCAATTTAGTTTGTCTTGCAAGCAAATATTCCATGTAATGAATGAATTTCATGTAGTACGTAACTAATTATATGAGAAGTATAGACTTGATATTTCAAAAATAATTAAAGAATAATTTCCCCTTGTACATTCATTCTTATATTACACTCCAAAAAGCAGAAAGAATAAGAGATTTATGGAGCCCTTTTTACTCAAACTTATTTGATAATTATATACATATATACATAGATATATATAAAATTAAATATATGCAAATTGCAATAAAGGGTATATTTCTTTTGTTTATGAATCATTTAGTTCAGTTGTTGTGATAAAGAAGCAACATGCATGAAAAGGAGGACAAGCTAGGAAGGGCATACTTGACCAAAGTTAAAAGTCAAATGATAACAGAGGTTGCTCTGAATAAACATGATCACTGTTCCATGATTGTACATGTTCCTCTGGATTGAAGAAGAGGCAATCCACTGTGGGGACCAAAGAGTAGGCAGAAACAATCATATTTTTCTATTCTTTCTTGTTGCTAATTAGTTTAGTAATCTACAATATGTACTCTAAAAATACTTCTCCTAATAATATAATTTTTTTAATTAAATTAAACTTAATTAGTCAATTTTTTCTAATAATTCTATTTTTTTTCTATAAATTATAAAATGCATTGTGATTATTACTGAACTGAAAAGCGCCAAGCATGACATTTTCGGTCATGGAACATGTGAACTTTTTTAAATTGAAAGTTTGAGGAAATAGTGCATATGGTTTGATTTACTTTGCTTTTAAGTAAGTTTTATGGACCATGCAATTGAATGTTCACATTCACTCCATATTAGTCCCAAAATGAATGGTGTTGAACCCTTGTTTTTCATGTTTTAGGACAACCCAACCATGGCCTTCCTGGACCCAAAAATAAAAACACACAAATACTTAAAAAAATATGGACTATAAGTCTCTCCAGTATACTATAACGTCCAGTTCGGTGCGAGTGAGTGATAGGAATCGACCCTCACTAATAATGAAGGGTTGTTACAGATGATCTTTACTGTTCATAAACGTTCAATTCGGTGCAAGTGATATGAATCAACCCTCAGGTCGTTACGAATGATCTCTACCGCTCGTAAATGTACTGACATTGAAAATAATTTTATTTTGAGAAACAGAAACTATCAAGAAAGTGGTTGGTAATCTAACTTTTATGACAAAATGTATGGTCATCTATTAGGATGTACCAAATCCTCATTCATTACTGTGGCCAACAAAAGATGCTCTCAGTAGCACCACCTTTTGTTGGAAAGGTATAATAGTGTAAAGGAATTTCATTGAGAACGAGATACAAAATGGTGAAATTGGATCAAATAGGTGGACCAGAAAAAAGGTAAAGGAGAGTACCAATACCTTTCTTTTCTTCCATGAATTTAGTTGAGTAGAGTAGAAAAAGGATGGAATTTACTTTACAGCAATGCTTGGTGGGAGGAAACAAAAATATTGGGAGGGGAGAGGAAAAAGAACACCTATATACTTCTCCATATAATGTGTGTGTGTGTGTATATATATACGAAAAAATTAATTTGAGAGACAAATTTTCAAAGGAAAAAGTTGAATTTCCTTCCTTTTCTTTACACTTTTGGAGGGATTGATTTAAGTGAACTTGAAGGATTCACTTTTCCTCTACTCGTTTTTTCATCAAATGAAGCAAAGCATAGTCAGAACTGCAGTAGTCCAAACCCCATTTTATAAAATAAAAAATAATAATAAAATTCGTTTCAATTACCAGATGGGCATTATAATGTTAGATTCACTAATGATCAAATTTTGGTGTATGATGAAAACAATTTAGTATAGGACGCATGGCCGTTGAGAGGAAAAGTCAATCTTGCTGGTGACCGACTAGAAGAGAATCTTTGCTAACCCACAAAAATGGTGTTGTTTTGACACACAAACACGGTCCAAACAATTTCAATGCAAGCAGGCTTGGGTAAATATTCCACATAAGAACTTATTGGAGAAACGGTAAGTTATTTGTCGGTAGGCTTTAGAAATTGTCCAATTTGACAAAATGAGTCGATCATAAATGTAGATTTCATAACATGTGGGCCCAATGGCTGGTAGAATTTGACCCTTATAAACCGGGTTAATGCAAATCAACAAAATCTGTCACAACCATCTAAATGTTACTGTATAACATTGCATATATTTACATACGTGTGTGTATGTATATGTGTATATATATATATTGCTCTACATATATAGAATTTAGGAAAAGGAAACAGAGAACATATGAACATGCAGTGTTAATGATAAAACTCATTGATATAAATATATTTTTTGTTTCTGAAATAACATATAATTAATATAACACGGATGGCATGGTAATTTAGAATAATTATGCAATTATATAACGAATAAAATTTTATTTAAAAGAAAAAAAGAAAATCTGATTTTCATTAACAATCTAAGTAAAGACAAAACGTGGAACAAAAATGAAAGACAACCCACCAAAGATCTCCTAATTAAACCAACAGATGATTAGAAATTTGAATAATTCAAACACTTGGAAACCTGTTATGCAACCTTTAAAAGCTGCCCTACCCAAGATGCCATCATCTTCAAGTCTATTAAACAGAACAATCCAAAAGACAAATGTGACCCCTACATATATGGATCTAACAATAATTTTATTAGTCTATTTTCCGAAAAAAAAATTAATAATTTTATTAGTCCCACTGCATATCTCACTTAAACTCACTTCTTTGGATCTATATATATATATATTTGTGGATCCCACTCCATGCAAATCGTGACCCTGAAGACCTCCAAAGACAGCTCACCAGTTGGCCCAGTTGCCCATGCTGTACGTTGTGGTCACAAACTCACCAAGGCATTAGAGGGCCTACTGATTTTTCATTATATTATATGCTCCAAATTAATGAAAACTCTCAAGTTTACAAGTCCAAAAACATATGTGATTTTAACGGTCACGTGTGTCCCCTAGCTAGCAAACCATCTCTATTTTACATAATTCATTTCCTTGATTTCTGTGATCCAACCAATTCAACTATAAAAACCCATCACCAACCTTCACATTTTTCACCTCCAAAACTATATACACAATCAGATCATCATCAGATTAATTAACCACCATGGTCTCGGAGAGGAACTGGTCCAAACACGTGTGCGTGATCGGAGCCGGTCCGTCGGGGCTGGTGGCCGCTAGGGAGCTGAGGAAGGAAGGTCACAGTGTGGTGGTTTTTGAACAAAACCATGATGTTGGAGGGCAATGGCTGTATGACCCTAAAGTGGAGGGTGAGGATAACCTAGGGAAGGGCACTACCCTAAAGGTCCACAGCAGTATATATGCCTCATTAAGGCTCACATCTCCTAGGGAGATCATGGGTTACACTGATTTTCCATTTTTGGTGAAGAAAGGTAGGGACATGAGGAGGTTTCCTGGACATAGGGAACTCCTACTGTACCTAAAGGACTTTTGTGAATGGTTTGGGTTGAGAGAGATGATAAGGTTTAACACTAGGGTGGAGTATGTGGGCATGTTGGATTATGCTGAATTTGGTAAAGATTTGAGATGGGTTGTTAAGAGTAGTAAAGATGATCAGAACAAGTCAGAGAAGGTGGTGGAGGAGGTTTTTGATGCAGTGGTGGTGGCCACTGGTCATTACTCTAAGCCTAGGTTGCCTGCCATCAAAGGTACATGAAAACTTCTCTCTTTCTATATATGCAAATGTATGTATATATTTACATTTCACATGTAGTCAAAAAGTTAAAGCTAGCAAGTCATTTCAATTATTATGAAAAGGGAAATTATTCATAAACTTCTTTCACACTCGATCATGTCGAGGATAAAACCATTTTGTTATTAAAATTTGTAAAGGACAATGTTAAGTGAATCTAACAATTAGATCTGTGAACCTATGCCAGATTTACAAAGTTCAAGAATTGAGCTTGTATGGTTGCGATTGTAATTAACAACAGAGCTCATATATATATATATATATATATATATCTCTTTTTTCATTGTACATGTATTTTGTTAATATATTCAAGATTTTTGGTTAATTTTATGAAGGAATGGATGCATGGAAAAGAAAGCAATTTCATAGCCACATTTACAGGATTCCTGATCCCTTTCGGAAAGAGGTAAGACCCAAAAGAAAAAGAAAAAAACTTTCTTTGTAGCAAAATTCTTGATGAATTGTTTATGTATAAGGATATATCATAAATTAAAGTTACTTTTGTTATTGACTACTTTCTTTCAAACACATAAAGTACTAGTCTTTATTTTGTTGAATTGAAAAATAATAATAATAATAATTGTTGAAGACTTAAAATAATGTACAGGTTGTGGTGGTGGTTGGAAATTCACTGAGTGGACAAGATATATCAATGGAGCTTGTGGATGTGGCAAAGGAAATACATCTTAGTTCCAAATCGCTTGACGTATCTGAGGGCTTGTCTAAAGTCATCTCCAAGTATGAAAACTTGCAACTTCGTCCACAGGTATCAATTATTGTTCACAATTTATGTACTTGATCATTAATTCTGAATATTATTTCTGGTTTTGGGCTCTCTGTTGTGATGGGCTTTACCTAATTCTGAATACTCTTTATGGTTTTGGGCTGTTCATTGCCCCGTCTTTTTCTACTTGGGCCCTCGGTCTCTCCCATTTAATAGGCCTTTTTAATTTTACAATATCAATAATACTTCAGAAAAAATAATATGAGATGTAAAAAAACTTTCAAAATTTGTGCATATTATTATTATTATTATTTTATTTTGTTTTAAGGTCATTTTAAGTATTTTAGTCTTCAAATTGAGAAATTATTCTTGCTTACTCAATTTGAAAAATGTAGGGAAGTATTTTAATCACTAGAGAGATTTTTGCACATTCTGTATATAAAAGGGAGATTTTTTTTGCACTTTATCCTTTAATAAAAATAATTGTTAATTTTAAGGTTAATGACATTGTATTGTTATGATTTGCAGATTGAGTCTCTACACGAAGATGGAAGGGTTTTATTCGTAGATGGCTCCTGGGTCATTGCAGACACCATTATATACTGCACAGGGTATGACACCATTCTAATTATTAGAGTAGTTTACCGGTGCCACCAGCCCATGAAAATATATCAAAATTTTACCAAAATGCAGAGCATATACCTTAATCATCTATTATTTAATATAAGTACATGTATATGTATACATACTGGTTGCGATAAAAGAATAAAAGCATAAATTAACAAGAATGAGGACACAAATTTAGTGTTTTAAGTATGGTTACTTTGGATAAAATAATGTTAAAGACAAATTCAGTGCCTTAAGTATGTCACTTTATACAAAATAATATCAAATGTTATGACAGTATTATTAAAGCACATAGATCTTCCAAATTTAAAGCAAATCCAATTCCTCACTATTTTCAGTTGATGAAATTAGTGAAATTCATTAGGGTCTAGTTTGATGGTTATATATATTGCTATCCAATTGGTTACAATGTATACATTTTTTCCTGTGTCAAAAGGTATATAGCCTGATTGGATCATCATGATTTCTGACCAAGGTGATCTTCTAAGGGACTGCATATTCTCATCATTAGTACAAAAATTGCTTGTACGCCATTCTTGAAGAATAATAAACCCTGATTTCATGAAGATTATATATATATATATATATATATATAATAAATTTGAATCAAAGTGGGCTATTTATGTACAGGTACTCATATTCATTCCCATTTCTTGACACCAAAGGAATAGTGGTAGTGGATGACGACAGAGTGGGACCTTTGTACGAGCACACTTTCCCTCCATCACTTGCTCCCTCTCTCTCCTTTGTAGGCATTCCTAGAAAGGTAATCATCTCTATCATTTTCTTTTCCAAAAGAACACTTCCTATATATACACACACATTTGAAATCTTTTTACCACATTTCAATATGAATTCTTTTTCCCAGTAATTAACATTTCAAATTATGTTCACATAGTTATATATAAAAAAAATTCTTTGGTAAGTAGAATCCTAAAGTTTCTTCTGATTAAGCTCATACATTTTTTCTCAATGGTTATCACTCTGCTCCCGCTTTTATATTCCGTACGGGCTCTCGCTTTCATTCTCATTATGTGTGACTTATATATTGTCGCTTTTGCACTTCTGCTCTTGAATTCGCTCTCACTCCGATTCTTACTCCCGCTTTATTTGACTTAGGTTTCTAATAGAAAAGATTTTGTGATGAATGCAGCTCATAGGTTTCCCTTTCTTTGAGTCGCAAGCAAAATGGATAGCTCAGTTACTGGCTGGGAAAAGAACATTGCCATCAAGGGATGACATGATGCAGTCCATCAAGGAGTTCTATCACTCAAGGGATCTTGATGGCATCCCAAAGCATAATACCCATGATATTGCAAATTTTGAGGTAAACAAATTTATTTACCCCTCATCTATATATGTTATTTAGATGATTGTTAACTAATCATGTATAATCACCGAAGACTTAATTCAAATCTTATTTTCTCGTTCTTCCAAATGAAGATGAACATTGAGAATTCGAGTCTCAATGGAACGATAATGTGTGTGGAAAAAAAAAAAAAAGTAACAAGGCTTTAGATTCCACACCTTAAGAAAGAAACAAGGCTTGAAGTCTAAGTTAGTGTTGATTATATAAAATGATTTGATTGCAGTACTGTGACATGTATGGAGATCACATTGGATTCCCACACCTCGAAGGATGGAGAAAAGATCTTTGCCTTTCTGCTTTAAGAAATGCAGATGTCAACTTGGACACATATCGTGATTTATACGATGATCAACAGGCTCTTCAACTGGCTCTTCAAAGCCCTCATTTCACTCAACTTGGACCTCAAGCTTTTACTGCGTGAAACAACCCCTTACAGTTGCCTCGTTTCACCATTACAGGTTACTATAAAGTTCAGAGCAAAAGAGTCTGAATTTTTTTTTGCTTTGTAAGTACAGTTTTAAGGGTAATTCACTTTTCAAACAAAGTGCTACTCATTTGGTTGGTAAGGCATGTTTTGGGTAGGGATCAGGGGAAGTACTTTTTTTGCTTTTGAAACGAAAGACGCCTTCGCTTTTAGAAGCAAGTCAAGTACTTCCACAATCATAATCAAATTGTCCCCATATTTTGAGTTGTGAGGAACAACTTTTAAGACTGATGTTTTCTATCTTTCAAATTTATTATTGAACAACATTATATTCTTGTCAACGATGTTTGGTTTGAAATGTTATCAAGCAAGATAAACATTTGCATTTGTGTCGTGAATCACATATAGTCATACCCGCTAAAACCATGTGAGAAAATATCATCTCTTTAGGAATAAAGTATACAATATTTCGATGGTACTGTATTTACATGTGTACCCGACGAATGGATCGTAAAAATTCTTAGAGCATTTGGGGTGCAGTTTAAAGTAGATAAGATTTCTGAAAAGTAGAGAGAGAGTATGAATTTAGTGACTCCCACCTGCTCCTATCTATTCTATTTACAGATATAGAATCATATGGATACGTTCTATTTTATTTTTATAATATTTTATGTGCTCCTGTCTCTTCTCTCCGTATCAATGTTTTTTTTTCTCTTTACCCAACAGCTATACCCTTTGCCTACACAATTCTCTCTATCTCATTTTTCAATTTTTCGGTGATTTGTTTTCATTCCTCAACAACTATTTTATCTCAATAATGGGCACTCATAAAAACTCTTAATTTGTTTTTTTCGGTCAAAAAAAGAAAATGGAAATTTTACTGACCACGGTTGGACTTGAGAAAATGACCCAATATGACCATCGACACAAAGGAACAGAACAGAAACAGAGCACCCAACCGCAGACAGGAACCGCAGACAGGGCAACACAAACATTCAAGACTGAAGAGCCACCTCGTAATGCACAAATCTAGCCCAATCCTGGGTTTTAATTCTGTAGAGCCTTGTGTGGGGACCCATCTCGAAAAGAGGCCACTCTTAATTTCTCAACTGATATTTGCCTCTAAAATTCATAGTGACATTGGGCTTTAAAAAAAAATTGGAACTGAAATATATTTTCCTGAAGGAAAATTCTTAAATGATCTGAATTTCATGTGGTCCAAACATCAGGATTATGTATCGCAGTGTCCGTGGCAACATAAGAAAAGCCCAAAAAACTTAGATTAAGCAAGTTCTTCAACTGGAACCTGTTCTTTAGTTTTTTCTTTTGCTGTTTCATGATTTGTTTGCCGCTGTGTATGACCATTTTTGGTTGCTTGTGTGTATGACCATTTTTGGCAGCGTTTGTAAATGCCGGTTGTTTTTCTTATTAATAAGAATACAAAAAAAATAAAGGTCCTCTGCACTCAACTTGAAACATGTGTGCGTATATATATATATATGAACTGCAAATATACTAGAATACTACTGATGGGCCTGGGCCTATTGAGGAGCCCAAAAAATTAGGCTGGATAAACACTGAACTCATAGAATACATTGATTGTGCCAATAGTTCACTATAATAAAAAATCGATCCTTCTTAAAATGAAACAAACAAACAAGAACCATATTATTAACTATTTCTAAAGAAACATTACATGATAGAGTGGCAAATTGTTCTCACGAACAATTTTTTTCCCAAGGTTCAAACAAACATAAGCAAACTCACAAAATTATTCATAACAGGACTTCAACAAAGCAGAGAAATGAGAGATCAGTCCATAGATAGTCTAACGTTTAAAAAAAAGCAAAAAAAAAAAAAAAACTGAATAAAAACTTATTAATAGGAAGTTTTCACCTAAAACTGACACGTACCCCTAATCATCCTTGAACCAGATCGAGTGTGATTGGATGAAGAAGCTAGAGATCGATGCATTATCACTCATTTGGAGCCTGTCGACTCTCAGTCTCAGCCTCTTTCTGCAACCCCCACCTTCTAATATTGAGCTGAAGCTGAGTGGCAGCAGCCAAGAACTTCACATTCTGAACCGGACTCAATATCCCCATCACCCCTTCCACCGTTGTCATCCTCAACCAATCCGCCCTCACCACCACCCCTTCCATCCTCTCCCTCAGCCTCTCCACCACCGTACCCAACTCCTCCCCCACTCCATCCCTCCCTCTCCTCCTCCCCCTCATCGCCTGAACCATTGGCAGAGCCGCCACGCTCATCTGAACTTCCTCCAACTGGTTCTCCAGATCAATCTTTTCCCTTTCCGTCTCTTCCACCAACTGATTCATCCTCTGACTCTGATCCTGACTCAACTCACCACCCACCGACCTCTCCACCAACCGGAAAGCCAGATCCGGCTTAAACCCGGAAATCCACAAGAGCGTCCTCTCATATGGAGTGAACCAAGGCGGAGATAACACGCCGAACGTGTTCCGGCTCACCTCTCTGAACTTTTCGTGATAGTATTGTTGGTAGTGAGACGACACTCGTGTAGTGAGGTCTCTGAAGTAGTCATTTCTAGACTCATGCAAGTTTTGCTGAGCCGTGACGAGTTCGTCAAGGAGGTGTTGTTGACGAACCAACCAGACTTCGAGAAAGGTCACGAATGGACCATCATTGTTACTGCAGCTTGTCTCTGCTGTACTCCTTCCTGGCATATTCAAGGCCTAGCTTGAAGAAGGGATATGAGACCACACATATGATTTGATATAAATAGTGTAAATAGTGGTGTTGTAAATTTGGTTTGCTTAATGGGGAAGTATTGAAATTGATTGGAGGAGTAGAAGGTGAGAAGGGGTTTGGCCGTTGGGAATCGTGGACATAATGGCGTCATATATGGGACTGAAGCGGCGCCACCCCCGCGGGGAAGCCCTGGGCGCGCGGTGGCAGTAGATGAGAGATTTTTTTAAGGTAGGGATAAATGGTGGTGCATGTGTGCCTCCTTTGATGGCACTTGCTACCACCGCCAAGTCACTGAACAGACACGTAGTGGTAATGGAGGGAGAGCCAAGTCCCGCTCAACAGACACGTACGTAATACGTAGTAATTAAGAAAGTGAGAAGAGAGAGACATTTGTTCGGTTGTTTTTGCCCTTAAGCATCATGTGACGTTTTCTAGACATTGGGAGTATCAATAAAATAAAAAGTGGGTACTAAATTTGTTGCATGATACTGAAAAGGAAAACAACCGCCGAAGCGGTTGCTTTGCTTTTACCAATTTTCATATCAAACGTAAGTCTCAGTCCTGAATAGCTAGTGCCTATTCTGAACAAAGAATTATCATAATTATCTGAGAACACGAAACCTCTTCATTAACTAAACTGAGTTCAAATTATTTATTTCATTACCATTAGAGACGAACAAACAATAAGTAAATGTACTTGAAAATATATTAGTTAAACATGTTGCTACTAAAAAAAGTTCAGGAAATATTAACTAAGCCATGCCTTGACATAAGCTTGGGGAAATCTAATAGTTTCTGAAATCCCAATTCATTGCAAGCAAAGTAATGCTACAGAGGATACAATTGATGTCAAATTTCGTTAATATCTTACGGAGTATTTTATAATTGAAGAAAGGGAAACGTCAAATTTCATCCATCTCTAAAATGGAAATTGAAGTATGAGAACTCGGTTACATCTATACTATCTATGAGTATAAGAACTTGTTGGAATTTTTATATATATATTTAAATAATAAAAATTATTTTATGGTCCTATGCATTATGTTTTTTTAAAGTAGAATTGTAATGTAATTATTGATACTTGATAGATTGGGTTGTACTTTCTAATTTGGTAGTCTAATTGGTAGTATGGTTTTTATACCGTTGGATTGTGATTTTCCAACTTATTTGATGTGATTTAATTATAACCATTTGAAACATGATTACATTTGAAAATTAATCTCATGAGGGCCTTTTAGAGAGTTTTCTTCTTGTTTGAGAGAGAGAGAGAGAGAGAGAGAGTCATATGATTATCAAGTCTATAGGTCTCTTGAATGATTATTCTTTTCTGAAGCTTTATTTAGTCACAACACATGTTGGACAAAAAATACTTATCTTTGAGTTATTTTTTTTTACTATCAATCAGTGTGGAAAAGGCAAATTGAAGGGTAGATTTTGTTGTCAATAAATTAACTGGACTAACAGGAACCAATCGGAAGAGCGAGGATGTGGTTAGCAGCTAAGCTGGTGGAGGTGAGTGAGAACCGGTTTGAGACTGATGATGAGATAGCAGTTGGGGTTTAGGCAAGTTATTCCAGGTGTAAACTTGCAATGTTTGGAAAAAGAACAAAAAAGAGAGACGCTTGATCAACCTCCTCCCCAAACTCCCTCAACAAAAGGAAAAGAAAGAAAACCCTCTAGAAGAAGAATAACACACACATAAATGTATGCATGTTCCAATTGGGGTTGTTGTACTACTGCATGGTTCTAGTCATGTGATTGCAGAAGTTGCCCAGCGGAGCTGGTCTTGGAACAGTCGAGCTAGTCTGTTTACGAACTGAAAGAACAACCAGGTCATTGATTGATTTCTCCTTCCTCAAATAATTCAATGGGGGCTTTATTTTGGTTTTTTAAACTTCAAAGAGGAAAAGGAAAGTAAAATACATACATACATGATTTTAACTGGGTTTTTCATTTCCCGAATGCAGAAGAGCCTACTGAAAGTGGATATCCGAAACAGGGCATCCATGTGCCACCTTACCCCCATACAAGCAGTTTTTCTAATGAGAATGTAAGAAAATGAACAAGTTATTTGTGTGTTTGTGTGTGTTTTTTTTTTTTTCTTCCCTTTACTTACTATAGTGCTGGTAGGACCGGCACTACACGGACGCACATGGCAAATCTCTAGCAATAAAATATATGTTTATTATATTAAAATTACATTTTATATGACAAATAAATGTTTTGTGGCTGTATATATTTTATTTATTTGTGTATATATGCAGATATGTATACAAAAACACTTTATTAATAACACTTCTTAGCCTTTTTTCCACTAGTGAACAGGTCCCCCGACATCGAAATAGCATATGTTAGCTTTATATGGTGCTTGTAACAACTGTAGTATTGTATATGGTATATGCTTGAAACCCCCCTAGAAAACACAAATACACGTTCTTTCTTTTCTTAAAATAAAAAAAAAAAAATAGAGAGAGAGATTAAAAAGGGATCTAATGGTGATGTGTTTATATGTCCATAAATCAGTCAAAATTCTCTTTAGGCCCAAGTTTAATGTCAACTTACTCTGTAACCATGCTATTTGTTTTCCTTCTTTAAGTGTACGTTATTTAAGTACTTTTTCAATCTTTCTGTTCTCTGTGCTCTGCGCAAGAATTGATGTAAACCTACTCTTTCTTGTTGATAAAAACCAAAGGGTGGTATGCCAGATAGGCACTGGTGGTTGATTCGGGCCCGTTTGCCACGCGAATCTTCAGTTTTACGCTCTGCGGTCAAGCCCCTTCATGTACCATGGACACCAAAAGCCAGTTTTTGTTTAGGATTTCCTACAACTGCGGAAGTTGAAGTGAAGGGAAGAAGCAAGGGAATAAGGCATTGTGTGCGGAATTTCATGTCAAACAAGCAATGGGCCTCTTTGGTATTAACTGTCAAAAGGAGTACACGAGGCCTATGAATTTCTTAGTGCCATTTTTGAGGGTACGATGGATTATTGTAACTAGCGGTGGTAAAATGGGTCAGGAACTATCAACCAGTCTATATTCGTCTGTTTTTTAATGATTATGGGTAACCACTTAATTTGAGGGTCAAGATGAGTTGGATATGGTTAATCATATTTAACCCATCACATAATAAACACACAACACACATCTATTCTATATTGCACTCAGCTCATTTCTCTCTCTCTCAAATTCTCTCGCTCATAACCCCCTCCCCTTTTCTCTCTCTCTCTCCCTCTCTCTCTCTCTCACTCACTCAATTTGTCTCTCATCAATCCCCGTCTCTAAGCTCCTCTCTCTAAGTTTCTTCTAAAAAAATAAATAATAAAAAAATTATTTTAAATATTTTAAAAAATTAAAAAATAATTATAAATAATTTTTAAAAAATAATTAAAAAATTAAAATAATAATTATAAATAATTTTTAAAAAATAAAAAAAATTCCATGGTCCATAACATTTGAGCATTTTAGAGAGAGAAAGTGAGAGACCGCTAACAATGGCAGCCAATTCCGGACGATTCTTCTTTCTCCTCACCCTTACATACCGTCGCTCTCTTCTTCACCCCCACCACTGTCGCCGAGATTTGATTCAAAGAGATCTGCTCCGATGACCAATCCACCATCCCCTTCGACGAATTCGGGTTCACCCACAACGATCGTCTTGACCTCAACGTCTCCCAAATCTCCCTCTCAAACCCTAACCCTCACATCCGCACCAACCCCGACAAGGTCGGCTTCTTCCTCTGCACCCGAGAATCCTGGATTCACGTTGTCGATCAACTCCAGGACGGCGAAATCGCTTGCCCTATCGATTCCGATGTCGTCAAACAACTCTTCGCATTCAACCAGCTCAACGGCACCCATCGAAGCAATATCAGCTTCAAAGTCATCGATTCGAATCAATTCTCTCTCGTTTTCACCAATTGCGTCCCCTTTCTCTCGTTTTTAAAAATAATTATTTATTTATTATATATATAGAACAGTGGTTACATATACAATTATATATGTGTGTGTGTGTGTGTGTGTGTGTGTGTGTGAGATTCTGAAATCTGGATGCATGATAAGGACAACTTGCTTTTGAAAACCCAACTTCAGAAACCCAATATATATATATATATATAAACCCAATCAATTTTAAAAAATAATTTTATATATTTATAAATGTCCGGCACTTTTTTAAAAAATTTAAAAATAATTAAAAATAATAATTAATGGATCTACGGTTCATAATGGATTGACCCTGTCCATTTTCAACTCGCCCATTTTTAACCGATTCTTAATAGATTAAATATGAATCTTGACCCAAGTTGACCCGTCTATTTTCAATACAACCCAAATCCGACCCAACCCGTCTATTTGCTACCCCTCATTATAACCTTTATATTATAGTTCCTATTCATTTCTTGTATATGCATATGATGGTTTCAGACATCATCTGTTCTCTTCAAGCTCTGCATTGATTCAGTTGTATGAAAATACATACACATCTTTCAACTTGTTTTTATAGGATGATGGCTTCATACCTGCAAGCTTCTGCCATATAAATTCTAGTCATTTGTATAATGTTCTGCCAGATGAAGTTTGGTTTGATCTGATGCAAGCAAAATAAGTTCCATTTCCCTCCACATGTAAATATATTAGGATAGTGAGGTTTCTCAAAGTGCTATTGTCAAAAACGTATGGTTGGTTTAAGCAGGATTATGGTCTATTTTTCAGTGAAACAAAGATGAGGTCATGTTGATTCTATAGGCGTGTGGACCGCTTTTTGTATATTATTCGTTTACTCGGCTTGATTACAGGTGGAATAAGCAAATATCAATCCAAAAAAAAAATTCCTTTGTTTTTGCTGGAAAATAATTCAGCAAGTAATACCAACAAAATTCAAGGGATTTTACTTTGATTGGTATTTTTTGATGAACACGCAAATAACAAATTAAAGTGATAATAGCAATCCCGAATTCAAATTTATTATATTTTGTCTTATGATTCATCTCTTTTGTTACGAAAATGGTACTGGTTTTGTACTAATTAACACATTATGAGGTGAAAACCTGTATTGGCTATAAGCCTAGTATTTATTTATTTATTTATTTATTTTTTTGGGATGCTTTGGATCCCCTATACTACAACTATTTTCCTCTATTATTATTGTTATGTTTTTTTAATGCCATGTATCTTTTCTAGAAGGAAAATGATTCTTGCACCGAACAGTTGCAATGAATTGTTAGACCTACTTTTTTAATTGGTCAATTATGCAATAAATAAGAAAGTAGAATCCTCCACTTAGTTGTATTTGGTATAAATAACTAATTAAAAATAATTCTGTTACACAATTCACTACAAGTATTCGATGTGACTATCACTACTCTTTTTAGAATTAGAGTTATTTTTAATTATTATTATTCTTTGTTCAACTAACTAAATAGCAACTAAACATTTAATTTCTTGAACAGTGTGTGTGGGTACGAACTAAGAAAAAAAAAAATAATGTTAACTAAACAGCAACTAAACTATCAATATAAAAACTATTTTAGACTAAAATTTGTGTAAAAAGTGTAGTTGTTTCATTGTTCAAAAAAAAGAAAAACAAAAACAAAACAAGTAGTTGTTTTTAATGTTCAAAAACAAACAAACAAACAAAAAAAAAACAAAACAAATAAAGAGTTGTTTTATAAATTAGAATGATCCAATTTCTCGAATCAGTAACAAAGAATCAAGCCCGTTGGATAAGCCCAATCCACAAAGTGAATACCATTATACTGAGGAAGTATATCATGAAGTGGATCTAATTTTTCTTCAGTGGATCTCACTCGACACTTACTTCGAGAGTTATGATTTGTGAAAGGATATTCATTTAAACAGATGAGATGAAAGAGCGTATGTCGGTATGGTAGACTTTGATGTAGCGAATCTCGATCTGCTCCATCCCACTTGGAGTTCGATCTCAGAGGTTCAAAGGAAGATGTTCGAAGGAAGATATTAGCCAGGCTTATATATATATATAGACACATATATATATATAGAAATATTTCGAGAGAGAGATAGAGAGATGAGCGGATCTATGCCTTGGGCACGCTCTCCAATATCGTGACAAGCAATTGGTAAGATGACCAATCGCCTTTGTTTTTCCATTTCTCATGTTGTGTAAACCATTATTTGTCGTCTTGGATAGTTTCCATAGATTGTGATTTGGTGCTTTTGGTTATCTGTGTTTGTTACTTGTATACGATTTGGCATCTATGAGGAAACTTTGTACTGATGAATTGCTGTTCATGGTCTTAGATCGAGAAGGAAATTTGGGTGCTTTTCTGTTAGCAATTTGGAAGTACTTTTGGCTTTTTAAGAGCAAAGACTTTGATTTTTGTTTCCATATGCAAGTGAAATTTTCTTTCAGAAGCAATAAAAGTACTTGCGAATTGCTGGGTATGAAGAGATACCTGAAACATGGGAATGGATTTTATTTATAATTCAACCCATTAACAAGATTTTTTTTTTTTAATATTTTTTTTCTGTTTTAAAAAAAAAAATTTGGTTTACTTGACCAGATTGCCAAGATAGAATAATATAATTGCAAATTAAGGAAGAACCCCAAATTTATCCCCAATTAGGTAATTTTGAAATAATGCATAGTTAAATTGAGTCTTCTGAGTACCTACTAAGAAAAAAAAAAAATTGAGTCTTCTGCTATCATGCATTTAAAAGTATTTTTACAAATTATCTCTTTATCTGTTTATACATGCTTAGGATTAAAATCCAACATGGTTTTTTGCCCTGTTGTAATCAGATTGAATCAATTTATCTACTTATCAAAGGGTAAAAAAAAACAATGGGAGGAATTATTATTATTATTATTATTATTTATTTTTTTATTTTTTTGTGGGACTTAATCAACTTCTTGTAGTCTTTTACATCTTATGTCAAATCATAGGCCAGTGAATATTTTCTGAGTCTCAACTCATGTTTTATTGCCGTGCTCCTGCATGTGTTCATTTTCAACTTAATCCAAAGTACCTCTTGTTGAGAAGTAATTAGCTTAACTTGCACATTATCAAAACTTTTAAGCGAGCTTTCGTTTCCTTGGGGTGCCATTACAGTCACTAAGTTTTTAATTCTTTTCTCTTTTTACCCATTCATCTCAACGATTTCATTTTAATTTATAATCTTTCTGTCTACATGTTTTTTCACTTTCCATTCCTCGCCCCCCTCCTTCCTTCATTCATGCTATCCTTTATGAATGCTATACTATTCAATCTCCCTACTCTTACGGATGGCACACACCGCAGTACCCCGGTTTAAACTGGTAAGTCATAGATCCAAGTTAGTGAACATTTCACATCTAATAAATCAGATTATGGTGCTAGGACAGAGAAAGAAGACTTCCCCAGAGCTGTGTCCATGGTGTTTGTGATGTCTAAATTTTTTATATATTTATTTATTTATATTGTTGTAGTGGTCACCATGTGCCTTCTAACAATATTTGTTCTCATGATCACACTACCATTTTAAGATTTTAAATCAGGTTCTCACTTGGTATAACCACTTGGAAAGTTGCTGCAGTAGGCAGCATATATGGCTTCAGTAATAGTTTGATGCTACAAAGACCCCGAGTTAGTTAAAACAACATTAAAGCCACTTGTGGTGTATGACAATCTTGTGAGAATTAAAGTACTGAAGTATTACTCAAATGTTTATATTACCAAATATTATTGTATATAAATAGAAAAACATATTTGAAAATGTTATATTAGTTTCATGTAAATTATGGCTTTAACTTTCAATTACATTCTCACATTTATTATGGTACATGCATTTGCCAGTGGCATCTTACATTCAGCAACCACCTGGCCTCAACTATTTTCCATTCATAGCTAAGAGTTGCACAATGTGAAGTGGTTTGAAATTGTCTCAGTTAGAAAGATCTAGAGGGGTTAAATAGGTCTAGTTTTGTTCTTTTTGCTTGTTTTTTAATTTATTTAAATAATTTATTATGCAACAAGCATGCAGACACAAAATAAAGGTGAAGAGAAGTATTCTTTCACCAAAAAATAGAGGTGATCATTGTAAACAAAATGAAGAGAGAATATAATGAAAGAGATGTTGCCCTTTGGGCTTTGTGTGCAATCAACTTATCATGATCTGTTTTTGACAGAATTAGATGTCTTTTTTTCAACTAGCTCGTGCTAAGAGTATGATTCAGTCACTGCTCTGATCGCTTTGGATAACCTTTGTACAGGTGCTTGATACCAACGATAAGTAGATAACACACACAACTATCACTCACGTGTAAAAGTGTGTGTATAAATTCAAAGAAAGACAGAAAATTTTCAGCAATTTTCTTCAGAATTTTTTCTCTCTGAAAAGATCTCTGCAAAATCTGATCTCTATCTGTCAATGAAACAATAGGTGAGCTTGTAAACCAAGAGTCTTCGTTTTTAAGTTCAAAAATTCTCTGAAAAACATTAGAAAACATTTCTTAGAGAATGTGTTTGAGACATTGAGTTTAGACATATATCAGATAAGTATCAAGGACCAATTTGAACAGAAACTAGTTGGACCGACGCATGCGCATTTGACACATGCATTCTCTGCAACAAGTTGGACTGGTGCATGTCATAAGTTAGACTGGTGCAACTGCCTTTTGGATTTGAAAACCGTTTGGGACAAACACAAGTTAGTTCGGTGCATGCACAAGGTTCCTACAAATCCAGAATGGATGCAATTCCAAAATTGGACCAGTGCAAGTGTTGATTGTTCAAATACACCATTAAACACTTTTCAACTTTCATAAAACAATTCGATAATTTTAAATTAAACATTAAACTTGAGGTGTCCCCACACCACTCAATTCACCAGGTCCTAGAGTGTTCATGTTGATGAAGCTTCTATTCCTTGATGATTTGCCCCTTTGATCTTGACACTCTCAATAAAAGACTCAGAAGTAAATTTACAACTCGGTCATGGTTCTGGTTCAAAATTTGTCAGTTGCAAATACGGTGTATAGGATCACTTGAAGTCTCTCTTTTAACCCACATATGGTATTGAAATCTATGTTTTGTCTCATCGGCATATCCCAGTGTTATCTGTGTTTTGCTCATCGGCATATCCTAGTGTTGCAAGCTTTAGATAGCTGAAGTAACATTTGGCTATGATGCTTTCATATGCAATCCATCAAGGCTCTTGGGGGCTGCTAAGCCTGTAGTTTTATCATTTTCCACATTTGAGTATGAATAGGGAACTTCAGATTCTTTTTATTGGCATATCCCAATTTTGCAATCTTTAGATAACCAAGGCATTACTTGGTTGTGATGCTTTATATTCAAAATGGGTCAAGGTTTCTGGGAGTAGCTAAGCATGTATTTATGTAATTTTCCACGTTTGATTCTTTTATATAGAGGAGTATGCAGTATTGATGCTATATGAACTCTTTGTTGTAGCTTTTGTCGGAAAGGAAGTTTCGGATCTTAGCTTGTTGACATCTCTAGCAAGTTCTAAATTGCAATTCCAAAAGTATTTTTCCAAACCGCATCATGTTACCAGAATCTTAATTTTTTTTTTAATTTTTTGCAAAATAAAGTATACCATTAAGTTGCAAGACTAGTAAGATATTTCTTATAGTTGTCCAATCTTGCAGGTTGACTTAGAGAAAGAGATGCTATTTACAGTTGCACCTAGGTAGAAAACTCCTCCAGAACTTTTCATAGCCAAGCGTACTTGAACAGGTACCCTTTGGTGGAGAATTTTTTTTTCACGATCACAATGTGGAGTTTTGCTTCAAATTCCATTGGTGGAACCACTGGAATGAAGAATGACCATCTAAAGCCAAGTCGAGCTCCTTCAGAGTGCTCTGACGATGAAATTTCTGTGAACAACAGTGGAGTGGAAGGGCTGGAATGTCCAATATGCTGGGAATCATTCAACATTGTAGAAAATGTGCCCTACGTTTTATGGTGTGGCCATACCCTATGTAAGAATTGTGTTTTGGGACTGCAATGGGCTGTCATAAAGTTGCCAACCCTACCAATTCAGCTTCCCTTTTTCATTTCTTGTCCATGGTGCAACCTCTTATCCTTCCGATTGGTCTACAAGGGGAATCTCAAGTTCCCCCGCAGGAACTTCTTCCTCCTCTGGATGGTTGAAAGCATGAATGGTGATAGGGTAAAATCTCATTCGTCCTTCTGTGGGGATCACCAACCAGTTTTGTCTTCAAACAGAAGCTTAGCCATGGGAAGTCAAGCTAACCAAGTAAACAACAGCCGTGCCCCATCTTTTCATCTCTCGGAACAAATGAATTCCAACAATGATGACGGTCGCCTTGTTGGTAGCTTCCTCAATCCAGAAAGACTTCAGTTTTCTCTTCGTAAGTCCTTGGTTTTCTTTGTTCACTTGACAGCTAAGTTTCCCTTGGTCATCATATTTCTTCTTGTAGTTTTGTACGCAATACCAGCCAGTGCAGCCATCTTGGCCCTGTACATTCTCATCACTATCTTGTTTGCTGTCCCATCTTTTCTAGTACTATATTTCGCGTACCCCAGTTTGGATTGGCTGGTTAGGGAAATCATCACTTGAATTGCGATTTGTTCTGATTATGTATATCATAGTATTCGTATCATGACAAAAATCCTTTTTGGGTCTGTTAATGTGCAATTTGTCGACCTTCCCCTTTTTTCGAACTTGATACTCTTGATTTGTTCTATGGAGTCACCATCCTTTGATTGAAACATTCCATATTCAGAATCAAATCAAATATCTTCGCGTATGGTTGCCTTGATGTTAGTGAATGTGTCAATTAGTTTCAGAAATGGCTTCTGTATCTGAATCCTACAATTGATTGTCGAGATTTGTGTTTTGTAAGATATAATACATCCTTTCATGTTTCTTTCTCTTAACAACATACTGATAGGTTGTATTGTTCTGGCACCATGTCTTCTTGATAAGAGTGAAACTTGGCAATATCCATGCAAGTGGTATCATTGTGGTGTACTGCTGCCTCAGTGTCCAACTTGACAGCCATCGAACAAGATGGTTTTGTACCTGCCTATCAAGAGGCCCGTCCTGCCTCTCAATTATTGAATTTAGTTAGGAAAAATCTTTTGTTTTCAAGCAGCTGGAATAAGAAATGAGGAGCCACATCATTTGAGATGAGATGCTAATTGGATCCTCATTTTTTTCTAATGGGGAAGAGGACTGAAACATGTCGTAGAAAGACTCTACTGAGACGAAGATGGGCAGTCAAGAATCTAAAAGAGTTAGGATGAGCAATTGGTCAGATCTAGTATGGATTGTGCATGGATGGCGGTCGGAGTTGGTGGCCCTCTTAGGGTTCTCTCATCTGCTTGGGGTGGGAAGACTTCGGTGGGGGAGAGTTTAGAACATGCATCCAACGATTTTCATGTAGTTGAGTGCATGTGGGACTCGTCCATCACAAGAGAGAATCCATATCCACTGAAAAGGGCTGGCAAAAAATTTCCATTTCAGAGATTCGAACCCTAGACTTTTCACTTTGAAGGAGAGAAAATATTACTAGATTATTATCCTTAATTAAGAGACGAGATATAAGTAGATTTTCTGTTTGAAAAGGATTTGTGGCATATTACTGCCATCTAATTCTTATCCGGACGAGAAAATTAGATGAATTCATTTGAAGAATGATGTTGGCATAGAAATTATTGGCTTTATGGTTGGATGGTCACTCTCTCCAAACTGATCTCTTTCACCTAACTCGATGAGGTTACATTATCCATGAGTGCGTGAGGGAGAGAGAGATTAAACTCTAAAGAGCTTATAATCAATTCAAAGTCTTCCTTTTTTCTTACACAACTTTCTTATTTATTTATTTATTTTTCTTTCTTTTCTTGGGCCACGCCTAAATGATAAGAAGCATGCTTCATATCAACCATTTTTTTTCCATCTCTCCTCCTCTAAACACCTGGTTAATCAAGATTGCTGGAAAGGTTAGAGTGAATATAAATTTTTATAATTAAAAAAATGAAAATTAAAGTACAATCATTTGACTATGAATCTTAGGTTTTTAGGAATGGCTACCGTTGCCCACCATGGGTGAATGATGCTCAATAAGATTAATTTAAAACAGGATTGGGTTGGTGCAGTTTCAGACTTCAGTACCAACAACAACATTAGTACTAAACATGTCAACATTCACAAAATGCCCTGTGTTTCTTCTCTAAAAATAATAAAACAGAAACTGTTACATTTCTCATTAAAGCCGACAGGAGCTTATAAACCAAGTTTGATACTTTTTTTCTTTCTATTCTTTTTATTTATTTTTTAACTGCACCAAAACAAAAATTTAACCTAACCAAACCAAAGAATGCAACATGGGACTGAAAAAACAGACACCATGACAACCAGAAAAGGCTCAAAGGTAAAAAATCATGTCAATTAGACGGCAAGGTAGAGAATAGATCTATAAACTCATTATAGGTACATGTATTAGAAACATTATTTTTTAAAATGCAAAGCGAAAAAAATACTCTTAATGTTTTAATTTTGGACAAATAACACATTCATGGTTTATTTTGGGTATATAACTCCTTAAGTTTGAAAAAATGAATAAAGAATGACTTATGTTGTGACACATCTATAGTTTATTTTGGGTATATAACTCCGTTAAATTTGAAAAAATGAGTAAAGAATGACTTATGTTGTGTATATACGTCCGTTAAATTTGAAAAATGAGCAAAAAAGGGGGTTTGAAGTCAATGTTATTATATAAAATTTCAAAAACACCCTTATCTTTTTCTATAATGCCCTTATAAGGGCAAAGTGAGAAAAACACCCATAATATTTACATTTTGGGCAAATAACTCCCATATCCTTTTTCTTTTCTTTATTAATTAACCCGAGGTATCCGGGATGGCACGAACCCCTATGCTATGTTCGGTAGGAAGGAAAGAAGAGGGGTGGAAGGAAAATAGGAAGGAAGGAACAAATTTATTTTGTTCGTGGAGATGATATAAGGAAAGAAATAATAATAAGAAGAATGAGTCATCCTTCTTCCTTCACAAATTTTCATCTACCCAAATATGGGAAACGCTTAATCTCTTCCCTAGAGATGTCTCGTCACATTCAATTTTTTCCCTTTCACTAAATAGAGCATTAGGGTCCCTCAACAACTTGACTAATCCCTAAGGACCAGAAAAGGTGCCTCCCCACCCAGGCCGGGTAAGTCACTACAGGGGTAACAGAGGCTAACTACAAAGAACACCTAGCGGGACTCGAACCCCAGACCTTGGGCTTGCTAAGCTCTAAAGTCTAGTGAGTAAACCGCTGAGCCATATCCGAAGTGGATCCATATTCTTTATTTTGAGTACATAAGTATGTTAAGTTTGAAACAATATGACAAAGAAGCGCTTGATGTCATTGTTTCATTAAAAATTTATTCATGTGTGTGTGTGTGTGTGTGTATATATGCATACACTTGTCACATTTAATTAATTTTTTTACTTATTTTTTATTCATTGAAGAATACTTTAGTCTTTCCAGCATTCAGGTTTTTATTTGCACCAAAATTGAATGTTAAAGAAGTTTATAACGTATAAGGGGTTATATACTCTATATATGTACTATAAAGGTATTTTTTACTCGCAACCCTATATTATATATATATATATATATATATAAAGAAGGACAATTTAGTTATTTCAAATTTAATAAATTTTTTTACTTATTTTTTTTTATTTAATTATAGAGAGATACTCTAATTTTTTCAGTATTCAGGTCATTGTTTGTTCCAAAATTAAATATTAAGAACTTTTTAAAAACGCTTAGGGGATTATGCACTCTATATACATACCACAAAGATGTTTTTGACTCGAAACACTTTTTTAAAACTCAAAACAACCCAACTTAGATTGGGAAAGTTTATACAAGTAAATATTTACATGAATTTTAGTAAAACTGAAGATAATAATAATATTATTAGGGTAAAGTACAGTCACACCCCCTGAGATTTGACAAAAGAGATACTTAGAGGAAACTTATCTGTTTTTTGGACGAAAACACCCCCTGAAGGTTCAAAAATTGACAAAAACACCCCTTTACATGAGAAATTGACCAAATTACCCTTTGACTGTTTATGAGACTTTTTTAACATTACAATTTAATAAATTGAACCAATCTACCCTCATAAACAATTTATGCATAAAAAAAAAAACTTTATATTGTTCACTTTTTTTTTTTTTTTTTTTTTTTTGTTATTTACTTTATAAATGTCCCAACTTCTAAAAAATGTAGACGTCTAAAATGATTTTTTGATCCAATACATATATTTCAAATAAATTATATTTTGTTATTACTTCTTTTCTTTTCTTTCTTTTTTTTTTTTTAAATTAAGATGCTTAATTCTTTCATCTAAAAAAATTAAACCAATCTCTTTTTCTTAAAAATAAAAAATATGATACCAGTATAACTTTATGCATCTTAAATTATATATCAAATATTATGCATTTCCTAAAAAAAAAAAAAAAAAAAAAAAAAAAAAAAAAATTCTGCATGCATAAAGTTGTACCGGTACCTATTTTCTTTTGTGCTGGGAAATGCATAATATTTGATATATAATTTAAAATGCATAAAGTTATACTGGTACCATATTTTTTATTTTTGAGGAAAAGAGATTGATTTAATTTTTTTAGATAAAAGAATTAAGTATCTTAATTTTAAAAAAAAAAAAAGTAATAACAAAATATAATTTATTTGAAATATATGTATTGAATCAAAAAATCATTTTAGACGTCTACATTTTTAAGAAGTTGGGACATTTATAAAATAAATTTAAAAAATTAAAAAAAATAAAGTGAACAATACAAAGTTTTTTTTTTTTTTACTTTTTTTGTATGCATAAATTATTCATGAGGGTAGATTGTTCCAATTTATTAAATTGTAAAGTTAAAAAAGTCTCGTAAACGGTTAAAGGGTAATTTGGACAATTTTTCATGTAAATTGGTGTCTTTGTCCAATTTTGAACTTTCAGGATGTGTTTTTATCCAAAAAAAATAGGTAAATTTCTTCTTAATGTCTTTTTGCCAAACCTCGTGGGTGTGGCTACTTTATCCTTATTATTATTATTATTATTATTATAAAATAGGATTTCCCTCCTTGTACAATCAAAAAGCTGACACTAACACTCTTCCTTCCAAGAATGGGGGTAAATCTTCTGACAAGGACCGTTTGTTTAGGCGGGACCTATTTCCCTCCATGCCCTCTCTCATTCTCTTCCTTCCTTTGCAATGAGGGTGTTAGTAGTTTTTCTTTCTCCTGTCATAATGACAGCAACAAGCGCGCATAGCCTCACACATTTTGCCCAAAAAAAGGCCATTGTTGCCCTCTACAATTCTTCGATTAAAACATTGGCGTCTCCAGCCGACAATCGTTTTGTTCTCTTCTGCTTAGCTTTTCCATCAACACTATGGCCAATCAAAAAAGGTATGATCTTCACCCAATTCCTCGTTTCAAAATCTGTCATGTTTAGATGAAATGAATTGCAAAATATTGTCGATTTTTCTCAGTTTATCTGTTTCTTCTCGGTATACCTTTTGGATTCAAGGTTTTGGTGAGATAAATTTGTAGTGGTTATTTTTTGCTTTGAAACTGAAAATTTGTGATCTTTGAAGTTTTGTGTTTATATTTATTAAATTCAATTAAGAAAATAAAATGATTTTATTGTTGTTCCTATGACTGTTTTTTGGTTCCTTTACATTGAGTTTTCATTTCTTTATTTATATCTTGCATTTTTTGTGATAAAGATGTTGTCATTATCTATGGATATATTATTTTCTGAGATTTTTGTTTTATCATCGCAATACATTTATTTTTGTTGAAATTACTGAATTAAATAAATTAAAAGATTGATTTTTTTTTTTTAATTCTTGTGTATTTTTCCTTCTCTCTCTCTTTTTAATTTTTTTTTAATGATGAAGTTGGTAGGTCAAAAACCAATTGAAGAAAACATGTTGCTGTGTCCTTTTGTTGTAGAACCGAAAGATTTTTTACACTAAAAGAGTAAAATTTCTCAAAATTCTTGAATTAAAGGTTCCAAGGGTTGTAGACTTCTTGGTCATTATAAGTTTATTTAATCTTTCCCCGAATTTTTTCTTTAATTTATTATCATTATCGCCGTAATCCTTTTTAAGGAAGACTTTGATTAATAAAGGGATCCTAGATGGAGTTATTTTGGATTTTCAGATGAAACTGTGTCATTTTTTTCATGTTTAGATGCATCGATAGTTGAAATCTTATTTCTGATGGGTCTATCTCTTCATTTTCAGGGGAAAAAAATAATATATAGTGTGATGGCAGTTTTTGGTTTTTTTGGTACTAAACCATTTTGATCTTATTTTCATAAAAAAAAAAAAAAAAATTGTTGGCCCTCGTATTGTTGGCTTGAAATCTGAATGGCGGTCATATCAAACAAGTCACACTGTAGATTTGTTCTTAAAGTTTGTGCGCTCTTCGAACCAATCATAGACTTTATTGAGATAGGTGGGATTCCCCCTCCGAGAACCGTATATGAGAATTTCGCCTCGTACAGCTCAAGCAGAAACACCAAAATAATAGTTGCACCGTATATGTAATAGAAAGTTTGAAATTTCTTAATCTCTGATTTCATCTTTTCTGAAGATACGAAAGAATAAAAAAATAAGAAAGCTCTTCTTTGTGGTGATAATGCCAAAATATCAAGTTGGCTCAGTCGTCGTTATCTTGATCCTTACGGGCCTCTTGAATCTTCTCTTTTCCTATTTTTTTTGTTTTTGTGTGTAATGTCGTTGATGGAAAAACAGGATTCTGATGGCTCATTCAAGTTTTGAATTTAAATTAGATAATTTTGGTTAATTTTTTAGATAATCTTCGAATATGTTAATTTGGATGAATTGTTTTCTGATTTATTTATGGAGATGCTTGTTAATGAAAAAACATGTTCCTTTTGTATTGTATCCTTTTTTTCTTTTTTCTTTTTTTAATTTATTATATATCCATTTTTAATCAACGTGTTGGTTGATGAAAAACATCTATGAAGTGATATGCTGTTCCTGTTCTCATTTCTTCTGATGTGAATGTTCTTCTATATCCATTTTTAATGCTGATTGGATTTGTAGAATCTTATACTTGGCCCTTTAATTTCCAATGATTAATTCAACCCAAATGATAGTACTTGTTCTAATCTAATGGTGTGACTTCTAGTATTAATAGGTTTGAATTTTTTTATAATTATTATTATTTTCCGTGGACTTATCTTCTCGCACCTCTTCCCTGGTTTTTTAAGGGCCAAGGTACATGTTAACAAGTTTATATTGTGGCACAAAGCAAAATGAGAGGTTGTTTTTTGTATTATTTTTAAGTTAGTAGTCCTGTTTTTGCTGCGTCTCCAATGGAATTTGAAGTTCCCTTGAGATATTATCCATAAACCTACTCCGTCTTTGATTTTCTTCATTACCATAAATGAAGAAAATATAAATCTTAGTTTGGTTTTTACCAAAGGGTTCACATGACGATGCACAATTTGCTCACAACGCATGTCACTTTCATAAACAGAGGGTTCCAACATACCAGTATGAGCTCCAAAACAGAATTCGTGTTTACCATCATGCTCCAATTCCTGAACAATAATTTGAACACTCTAATCAATAGAACTCACCTTAGTCTCAACAATGCCAATCAAAGCAATAGTATTTTTGGCAACAAAAGTCCTGACTTCCTGTTGTTTAAGGGAGACCCCTAATGTTCTAGGATGCAAAACTAATCATTTCAGATAGGGCATTGAAATAAGACCCTTCCCCTCTATGGCAACACTTGAGAAATTAGGACTTAACCTTTGTCCTTATCCGAGGTCTTCTGTTTGAAGGATGATTCTGCCTCAATATTCAAGTCTCTCAACATAGTTTCATCACCTTTTCATGGTCAAGTTTCTCTTTTCCCTTCCTAGACAGTACCTTCCAATATTCTTCCCTCAGTGTCCGGGCCTCATCAGCCGTTTTGTCCACTCACAACAGAAGTGCACATATGAGGCTTCCACTGGTATACGACCTTATCTTCCTGAGTTGTATCCTCCCTTAGTCATGTATAAAGTGAAGGACTCTATCAAATCCTGATTCACTTCAATTTCAGCATAAATATTTGCCTAACTGATCCTTTTTATATCCTTTGTCAGAACATCTGCATAAAGTGGTCTCACAGCAGCAGTTAGTAGTCACATTATAGTGCAGCCCTTTGGCATCCCAGTACTCAACAGGAACATTGAAGAATTTGATCGTGATAAAAAAAATTAAAAAATTCAATCTGAATCATTTGGTTATATTTAGTGACCTGCGCCATTTCTTCAATATAATGGGTCTCACTGCAAAGTGTCAAGGTCACAAGGAACAGATTTGACAGCAAATCTCTAGCATTGATGTTGCTAAACGGAATGAAGGAAAATCCATTTTTCATTTGAGAGCACTCTTCCAGTAACTCCTTGTCCCAATACGTAGTATTTACTGATTTCACTAGAGAGTAAGGAGATTTTTTTATAAATTGATAAAATACTCGACATGACATTTCTCCCAATCTTTCCCTCCTCCTAATGCAATCTCAGGAGGGGTTTTCATGTGCCATCTCTGTGGTGAACCAAGGATACCCCAACTCTCAATGAGCGGAATCTGAGGATTCACGCACCACTTCATCTATGCTATTTTCCATAATTGCACCTACCAAGTTGCCACTAAAGCTAAAAAAATTTCATGGATCTCATCTAGCATGGGATTCTCCTTCATAAATGCCTCCTAAACCTCTCATCAGTAGAATCTGGAGTAGAACTCCTGTCGGTATTGTGTATTTATGTTTATTTTTATGTGAGAGGTTGTTGGAAAGTTGTGTAATTTTGATACTCTAAAAGATGTTTCTCGATTTATTAATTTGATAATGATTTTTTTTGTTTTTTGAAGGAAGAGCTGGGATGGAGGAGGAATTGCAAAACTGAAGGAAAGTACGACAATTTCCTTATTCATGCTTTCCTTTTTGGATGAAATAACCTTAAATAAACTATTTAATTTTATTTTTCTTTCATTTGGGTTTCCTGGTCCTTCACATAGTGCTTGGAACTGCACTGATCTTATTTCGCGTATGAAATGGTCTGACATAGTTTGCGAGTTTGAGTTCTATCAAAGCTTAGAATCAGAAGTCTAAAAAGTCTTTTAATCCTTGAAGGATAATTTTAATGAGTCATGCAATGAAATTATGGAAGGATAATAGAACAAAGACTAAGAAAGGAATTTATAGTGTCTAATAATCAATTTGAATTTATGCACTTCCACGATGTTCGGACTATCATGGCCATTAAGTCAGTCCATTGTGTTTTTCATTCTTCCTTATCTTTTCGTGCAAGTGATTTGTAGCATTTGACTGGTAGTTTGTTCCATTCAAAAACATCATTATGGTCTTTGGTCAGGAAGTAAACAACAAATGAGATATCATAATAATAATAACCAAGGTGGTTTTCTGAATCCTGAGAGAGGTTCATTTGATTGCTGTCAGAACACATTGATTTTGTTTGTCTCTTGTATTACTTATTAGTTGGATTTGGTTTCACAAAACAGCCAAACACCCATCACATGCTTCTATTGATTTATTTTTCTCGATATTAGGGGCATGAGATTAATTAATTTTTATTATTATAATCAAAACTTCATTGTTTCTTGTTTTCCATTATTCAGGATGATAGGCTTGTGAATTGTCCAAGCTCAACTAGTATCCACCTCATAATTATATCAAAATTTGGTAACTGCTTTGATTCGAACTTATAACAAACTCTCAGAGAACTCTCTATATATCTCTTTCTGAGAAATCAGTTCTTCTCGCCTGCAAGTGTTCTTCACAAATTTTATCAGTATTTCCTCACCTTATAGTAATGGCTGAGGAAACAGTTGATACCCCAGTCACAGCGGAAACAGTTGATACCCCAGTCACCGCGGAAACAGTTGATATCCCAGTCACCGGGGAAACAGTTGATGCCCCAGTCACTGTGGAAACAATTGATATCCCAATCACTGTGGAAACAGTTGCTATCCCACCTCTCAAGAAAATTCAGCTTGAAGATGGTCATGGGAGAAGGAATTTGACTGGAGACGTAGGCATGCTTTTCAATGGAATAAGGATCTTACCTCGTTATCTCACTGGTTCTCCAGGTTCCTGCCATGATTTTTGTAAATATGGGACGAAACATGAGTCCGAAACAAAGCCAATGAGTCCCAAGCCAAAAAGGATCATAGCTAGACCAAGTGAAGGTGAATATTTGGCTAAGACTGTTAATTCAGTGCCGAGAAAGAAGAAATCAGTATCCAGTCCAAATAAGAAATCAACAATCAGTCCAAAGCCTTTACCTGATTCCAATAGCCAGATACCAGACAAAAAACAAGTCACGAAGAAAGAAGTTCCAGCATCAGCCAAGAAAGCTGCTGTTTCTTCAAAACATGTCTCATCACCTAGGAAGGGCATGGAGGTTTCTACAAAAGTTGCTAGTGATGTGAAGCCGAAGCGTTTGCTCATGAAGTCATCCTCTCTCCCAAACCCAAGACATTTAAGCAATAGAAGAGACGGTGAAATCATTATACCCAAGAGAACTGAATCTCTAAAAATGAGTCCACTGGGAGTTTCAAGCAATAGAAGAAAGAGCAATATTGGTGAAAATAACAAAGTGCAGTCCCCCAAAACGAGAAAGAAAAATAATTTGATGCAACAAACTGTTCCTTTATTTCCCAAATCAACTGTGAAGAGAGTAGTTTTGAGGCAAAATTCAGAAGACTACACAAATCTACGAAAGGTGGCTCTTCTGAAAAATCAACAGTGTGAAAGAAAAGCCGAACCTGAGGAACCCAACGATGAAACAGTTCTGGAGAAGACATTGTATGTTATTGAAACAAAGCCTGATAAGCTTACTATGGAACTTGCTCAAAGTGATAGTGAAGTAGCTCATTCCTCTCCATCCCTATCTCCATCCTCTGAGGACGAAAGCTTGGGATTTGATCAAAACGGAACACGCGCCTCTCTGTCACCCCCATCGTCCGAGGACAAAATTTCAGGACAAACTCAAACTGGTATTTGCACTACTCAACCCTCTTCACGCTCATCTCCGTCTTCTGAGAATAGAAGATTGAGACGTACTAGAAGTGCAATCCATAACACTCGGTCGTCTTCATTATCATTATTGTCATTGCCCTTGTCTGCATCAGAGTCCTTGAAAACTAAGGAAGTTGGCCTCATCTCTGAACACATTGAAAGTAAAAAAGTGGAGAAAAAGAGCAGGTCCAGAAGGGTTGGTAGAGTTGGCTCTGAAGATAGAGATCGCTCACCACGAAAGCTCAATTTCAGGAGAGCAAAGTTGGTTGATGTCAATCATGAGAACAATGATCCAAGGAAACTCAGATTTAGGCAAGGAAAAGCACTAGGTGAGAACCAAAATGGCAAGGCTGATACAAAAAGGAGAATCTTAAGGAGGTCAATTTCCGATGTTAAGCCAATCGCCACTAAAGCAGAAACTGTGGAAGTTGTTCTTCGACACCAGGATGTGGAAGACAAGAAAGATGTTCAAAATTTGTTTAATGAAGTAATTGAAGAGACTGCAAGCAAGCTCCTCCGGGACAGGAATAGTAAGGTCAAGTCTTTGGTGGGTGCTTTCGAAACTGTGATCTCCCTCCAGGATACCAAATCCGCAGCGACAGCTAAGACAAACTGAGTTGCTCCAAGGTTTGCCTCATTCCTTTTAACATATAGCAGTTGCTCATAATAATCCTTAAGTGATTGGAGTTTTCAAGGTGATATGTGAGTGAACTCACAACCTTTGTGACAGCATAAATTGCGTGATTAGATTCATTAGAGTTGAGATAGCTTGGATGAGACTGACTTGTCTTTGCTGTTAAGTGTATTGATTTGCTGAACCATTTACTCTTTTTTTATTTATGCTTTTCTTGTTTAAATATACAGACTATTGTCATTTATTTATTCGTCCTTCACAAAGAAGGAAAATTTAATCGTGTATGTATTTTGTACAAAAACAAGTCCATATGGCTGTTGACACTATTTGTATAATGATGCAAGTGTTTATTTGTATAATTGCTTATTCTTCACTTTCTGAATGTATTAGAAAACTATGTTGCCTATCCATTGTTCAGCATGAATTTCAAGGTATATTGTGATATTTATGTATTGTTCAAACACAAATCTGCCTCACTATTCCTACGTGCAATGTGACTGCGGAGGTTAGTAATCACATGTTATATATATATATATATATATATATATTGCTGTTGAACTTTCACCACAATGAAACCAGGGAAAGGTCTTGATTTTAGATACAACTCGAAAGACCTGCCTAGAAAGGCATTTATGGAACTGATAAAAATGCCTAAGAATTTTCAAAAAAAAAATTCTGTGCTATGACTTCGTTGCACGTTCATTCTAGGATTTTTCAGTTCCACAGCAAGTTCACTAGGATATCATTTGCAGCATTTGCTTACATTGTGAATTGGCAAGAATTTTGATATTATTTCCTAACCAAAAAATAAAAAAATAATACTATTTTGCACTTGGAATCAGTAATAAATATTGAAAGTTATGAAGTGCGGATATGGACATGGGACTAGCATTTCCAAATTTTGGATATGTTGAGAAAGTACCTAAACCTGTATACGTGGCATTGAGGATACGATACGAATACGTCTCCCTTATAAAACACTAGTGGATAGATATAAAGTATCGATTCATATAAGTCAAATATAAAAACATGTGATATCTAAAAACTATACTAATGAGATGTTTTTGTTGCTGTAACCAGAAACAGAGCCAAAGTTGACCGTTAGTAACCGTTAGTTTTTGAATCTGCATAGCAGAATTGGTTGCTCAGCCTTGGGCTTGGGCCTGGATTGTTACATGTTATACGTTTCGTATTCTCTTAACATTTGAAAAAAAAAAAATAAATAAATAAATAATAAAAAAGGCATAATTATATATACATTTGTCGTATTTTATCATCCTTGTCAAATACTCATGAACTCATATATCTTAACAAGAATATTCCCATAAAACTAAAATTTAAACTATGATTTTGGGAAAATACTCAAACAATTTGATTTTTGGCATTCATGATAAAGATGAAAAACATTTAATCTAAAGGCAAAAAAGTTATTAAATGAGTCAGATGACGTATATTTTTTTATTTTACAAACTGTAAAACGATAATAATGACCCTATAATTTTCAGTTCTCCATCTTCCTTCCTCTCAAAGAACCAAAATTCTTTATTTAATTCCTTCCACCATCCAATTCCTTTCAAGCTTGTAAACTCTTGGTTTAAGGTTCAGTCTATGAATGTCGTAGATTGTAACTAAGAACTTTAATCTTGTCTCCTACATGAAATTGTAACTTATTATCATTATATTGATTCCGCTTAAAAATAAATAAATAAAATAAAAATTCGCTTAAAAGTATTTGTTTACTTGTTTTTTTTGTTTGTTTGTTTTGCTTAATACTATAATCAACTTTAAATTATAAAGTCAAAATCTAAGTAATGGTGAGAGAGTCACCCTTTCCGATCAAATCACAAAGTTGATTGTCACACCAGAAATATTTACTTGGCTCTCGATGGTTTGACTATACCCCGCAACACACTTTGAACCAAATATTTAACTAAAATTGGATGCAATTAAGTTTCGTGATTGAATTAGGTTAGAGACTTAGATAGAAGTTAAAAGATGAGAAAATCACCCTTACAAAAGAGGTGTAATTTCCTCAAAGTGTACAAAATGCCCCAATATTTTATTGCATCCAGCCAGCTGTGACAAAGAGCCAATGATCCTTTGCTCTCCATTTATAGGGAACACATTGATTACATGTGGTCAGACTTAGCTCTAGTATTCAACTCTGATCAAAATCTTATTGGATTTTAATGTGAATAGTTTTAGCCATTTTATACTCAGAGCAATACAGTAGTAGTAGCTAGGCTGTACCCGATTAGGATCAAGTGGAACCCACAAATCTATATGGCATTATATATTGGTCCATATATATGTACATGTTATGACCATGGCATATATGTGGCTCACATTGAGATGCCTATATACATCACGATCCCACTGGGACACCTCATGAACTGTCATGTCAACCAAATTAGTAACATAATAAATGTTGTGGAATTGTGATGGGGATGTACATCAGTCTCATAGAACTTTACTACTTTGGTATTACTGTGACATATGGATAATAATACTCCTATTTTACATGAATTAGAATAATCATTTATGCAACTAATTGTTTTCTTTCTTTATCTAGCTATTTTTCCGGTGCTTCAATTAAATGTTGAATGCTTACTCCATTTAATTGACAAAGCAAGTAGTGTCCAAGAGAATTTTCTTTTAAGTAAGATGACAAAGTTTTCAACAACTTATTTTAGAATAAGTATATTTTGTATCATTTAAAATAAGTATGTCTTTGTCAACATGCGACAAGAAACCGTCCACACTCTTTCTCTCCATCGTGATAAACGCTTATTCATACTTTTCAACAGCCTATCGCAAGTTGTATGATAGTATCTCGTGAAATATTGTGATTGAGACGAGTTGATTCCTCAAACAACTCTTCAAATGTAACGTGATATATAATTATATAGATATATACACACACACACACACAGAGGTAAGGACCTAACATTGGACTAGTGGGCGTGGATGCCCCCACTGAATTTTTTATATTTTCATTTTAAATTTTAATTTTTTTAGAATTTATGAAGATATCCCACTAAAATTACAATTCGCCCCACTAAATTCTTTTTATACTTTAAATTTTTGAGAATTTATGAGCATGCCCCCACTAAAATTACAATTCGCCCCACTAAATTCTTTTTTTTTTTGCAATTTATACTTTAAATTTTTTAAATTTTATGAAAAAAAAACCTCATTGAAATTACAAAAATCAACTCAATATATAAGTTTGACTCACAAATTAAAAGGCCGCCCCATCACAAAAAATTTTAAATCCATAACTGTATATACATGTTATATTTGGCGACACTGTCAAGGGTGATTAATTTAGAGTTCCCCGATCAACAGCACAACGCATGGATCATGGATGATCGCTAATTCAAGCTCAGAGGTGACCCCATTGACAACTATATATGCAGAGAGTACTATATAATTAAGGCATTAGATATATACGATCACCTAATTGGTCCTTGTGCATGCTCTTAGGCTCCAATGTTTTTGAATGAGAATTGACTTCCAACAACTTTGTTGGTACCACAAGGAAATCTAGCATGTAGTCGCTATTTTAATTAACATGTTGGAAGAATGTCGGTACCGCTACAACGCTCTTATTTAAAAATTAAGGTCCCAAAACTTCCATTATTAGTGACATGTGTGTGTGTGTGTGTGTATATATATATATATATATATATCTTGCTGATTTTTCTTTCTTCCTCGCTAGCTAATGCTGCTTTGTAACTGTGGCAATGCAATTTATTATTATTAATTTTTTTTTTCTTTGGGTAAAGTAGACAATGCAACTTGCAGCCAATGAATTTGCAAATACATCTATCACTTTCTATATATATATATACATTCAGTCATCTTTTTCGGTAAAGTGACATGTCAATCATCTTCCAACCTTGTCTTGGGGTACATTTTGACCTTGTTTTTCCTTTATTTTCAGTGAGTACATGTTGTCCTCTGTTTTTCTTTTCAATTTATTTATTGTCTGGATGTTTCTAACATACTGAGCTATATTTTCCATAGATTTGTCACCGAGACCATCTACCAATTCTTTTGCAGCTTTGCTCAAACAGGTGAGATGAGAGCGCGCAAGAACATTTACTAGTTATGGATGATCTGTCTTAAAATAAAACAGCAATTATATATTTGAGGGAATGATAAACATTGTTAAATAAATAATTAAATAAAATACAGAGGAACTATATTTATATATACACACACATATGAATGTACTTGCTTCACAGACGAAACAAATAAGTAAAATCAAATAAAAACAAAAAAAAAAATGTAAGTTTTGGGTAAATCAACAGTAAATTTTAACATAAAACTAAAAGCCTGCACCATATTATTCCAAGACAAATATATGGATCAATTACACCAGAGGCTTGTATATATAATCTTAATTTATTAAATATATAATTGATTTTTCTTAGATTTTGCTAATTCCTTGGACAAGATAATGCTTGCAACTGCCTCAGTCCTCTTGGCCATGGTTTGACTGCAATGAGCTTCTTGTTGCCTGCGGCCTCTGATTGACTTGTTGCTGGTAAAGCGCTGCCATCTTGTTATAGAGGTCCATATTCATGGATTGCTGCAAAAACAATATATCAACTGATTAAAAACGTTTAAGCTATTGAAACATGTGTGTGTGTGTGTGTGTGTATATATCAGTAATTAACAGGAAGTAGATTAGAGCATTGTTTGTGATGTGTTAGAAGCAAATTCAGTATATTACTTCTATTGAAAAAGCCAATGGTACCTACTTTCTTCTAAAGAATAACTTCAAATGATCACAGACACACACACACTCTTAAATTATAGACCATTATCAATATCACTAGTGTGTGGTCACATACTTGTGCTAGAAACGCGCAATATGGATTGTTGAAAGGAGCTGAAGTGTTGGTGGCTGCATTAGCATTTGTTCGCGCTGGAGTTTGCGTTGGAAGCATAGGAGGCACCATAAAAGGGGGTGGAAGGAAGGTGGGAGTTGCAGCGGTGACAGGGGTTGGACGGATGAGAGGAGGGAGAGACTGAGGCGCGGAGCGTGCCATGGCACTCATTTCCAGCATTCCCATGGTGCCCCCAATCCCAACCCCGCCCATGCCCATCCGTGCTAGGAATTGAGACATCTGAATTTGCTGCTGAATTTGCTGCTGCATTTGATCCATAGGCATCATCATTTGGGGCATGCTTCTTACACTCATCATGTTAACTTGTGCTTGAAGTTGTTTCAAGTACTCAATCACCTCATCAAGCATTGAAGCTTTATCAGTCTGCAATTCACAACCAAATTAAAATTATAACACATGCTATATATAGACCCTTTGAATTAAATTTACTCGATAATAACAAAAAAAAAAAAATGTTACACAAAATTAAGTTGGAAGAGAAATTATGTTACTAATTCTCACCTTACTTGCATTTGGAACCAGCTTCTGCAGAGCTTTCATTTTCTGATTGATCCTGTCTCTACGTCTCTACATGATTGTCATAAGACACTTGAGTTTATCAGTGGCTTTTTGATAATTTTCCTGGCTTTACTACAATTAAATAATGGAATTAAAAAAATAAAAATAAAATCATGATTAGGCTTAAGTATTTATCGCAGCCAGATTGGAAGCTATGATTGTTACCCGCTCTGACTGATTATGTATAGCAGCAGCACGCCGTCTTGTTGGGTTGGAACGACCTGTTTCTGCTCTGGTCTCCGGTTCTCCCTCCCGGTTTTCCTATTGAAAATGAGAAAATTAAAATTGTCAAGTTATGCATGAAAATATAGTACTCTTAGAAGTTTAAGAGGGTTGGTAAAGCAAAAATTAAAGAATTAAGTAAAAAATTGAAAGACTTAACTATATCTGTTGAATTTAAGCTTAATATAACATGAATATGTTTTGTTTGCAGTACTTCTTAGTTTGGTTCAACATATTTAGCTAATTTCTAGTTTTATCAACTATTCATAAAAGTGGAAAATTAATTAACAATAACTTTGGCATAAGTTTCATAAATTACTTTTACTTTTAGTTATTTTCTATCTTTAGAAATTGTAGTAGTACTTTCTATGAACTTAAGTACTCAAATAGTAAGCTCTTCAACTTCTCAAAAACAACTGTCCACATAATTGGGCTAATATTTAAAGGTCTTATAATAAATCAAAACACAATTTGATGCTAAGAAGTTGTCATCAAAACATGCAAATGCTTACTTTCTATTCATGTTTGTCACATATAGTTTGTTTTGCTTCCTTAAAACACTCTCAATTATGTAAGACTATCTAAAACTGCACATGATCCAAATGTTCACTAGTCATTAAAAAAAAAAAAATTCCCAAAAATGAAACTATACATTTTCATCAAAATATAAATAGAATTAATAGTATTCTTACCGATCCACCATGACAACCTGAATCCTCATCGGTGTTCCTAGTCTTCAAGCTCTGGGGAGACTCGAACGAAGCCCATGTCATCGCGGTTGTATCGTTGTCTCTACAAAATGCTGTGCTAGCACTAGCACATGCACTGCGGTCCGTAATGTACTCATGATCTAGCATGCTGCTGCTAAAATTTAGTCTACTTTGGTCCGATTTCGAATGCATCCGCTTTTTCGCGAAACCTTGATCCATTTGCATCTTCCCTGAACTTTCCGACCATTTTCCGCCAGAGGATGCCACGACGGAGCTCATATTGGCCGGATTCCGGTGATCTTGCGCTAAGTTTATGTTGTGGCATGTTGCTTGGTGGACAATTGACTCTAGTGTATCACCTGACCTAACCCATGTGGGCTTTGTCAAGGGAGGAGTGGGAAGGAGCCCACCAAGCCCATGCATGGCTAGCTGGCCATTTTCCCATGTAAGTTCTGTAACTCCATAATCAGACCTGTGTTTCAAATGCACATTTGAGTGTGAATTAAAATAATTCTATGATGAAATGTAAATAAAAAAATACTAAAACAATAATTTCATTTGTTATATATAAATGTTTTAATTTTAATGAGAGTGGATTGATGCAAGAGTATAAGTAAGAAGAAAAGTATTGTTGGTTGTTCACTTCAGTTTTTTTTTTTTTTGGGTAGGTATTTGTTCACTTAAATTAGTAAGTCTTACTATTTAAAGAAAAGATGGTTGTTAATCTGAAAATAAGCACATAATATGGTTGTGGAAAAAGGTAAAGAAAAGATTCTTTTATAAAGTCAAAAAAAGAAACTACTTCAGATGAGAAGGGAATAAAAATATTGAACAAAATTAGAAAGTAAGAATTTCACAGTTTAAGGGTCTTTGAGAACAATATATAAAAAAGGAAGCTAGAAATCAACTAATTAGCATGAATTAATTTCTTAAAATGGATAAAGAATTGGAGGATGGAAAAGAAAAAATTGAAGTTTAGTGGTGTAAATGAATCAAGTCTTCTTTCTTGTAGTACTTACCAGAGAGAGAGAGAGAGGGGAGGAGGAGAGAGATGTAATATTGATGCAATGACTTGTAAGAATGCATTAACAGAGACTGAGGACATGGAAATATTTATAAAATGAATTGAAATGCCTTGGTAAAGCATAAAATTAATGGTATAAGATGAATAAAGAGGAAAATGGAATTGAGAAAGCAGAGAGTACTGAATAAAAAGAAGCTTGAGACTATTTAGAAAAAAATAAAAAATAAAAAAAAAAACAGAAAAATTTCAGATATATATAACACACACATGTTAGTACTTAAAGAGGAATTTCTCCAAGCTAAATAAGCCACCAAAGAAAAGAAAGCTGGAGAGGGTTTTAAGATAGCTGAAAGATGCACTCAGAGAACTCCATGTGCACTCAAAGAGAACTCCATATGCACTGTGTGTGTGTAAGAGAGAGAGAGAGAGAGAGAACCACATATATATGATCACATACAAAAGCTAGCGATAGAAAAGAATTTAGGAGCAGTTGTGCATACAAGGGGACAACATGGCTTGGGTTCTGCTGGCTCTGCACGTGAGAGGATTTGTTCCCCTCTTCTCCTCCTACTTGTTCTTGTCTTTGGTGCCTTAGATTCCAATTAGGCACTACACACTGACTACTACTCATCATGCAATAATCCTACTACCTCTTTCTCTCTCCAACTCTCTGATCAATAATATTGAGTTTGGAACACTTCTCTCTCTCTCTATTATTTCTTTATATACCCTTCATGGTCCCAATTTGGTTGTCACAAAAAATTGATAGAGATTATACATACAACGTGTGGTAGCAAGGAAAGGCCAGAGAGAGATTTGGATATGCTCTGGCTTTACCCTCACTATACACTTGGGTGTCTGTGTCAAGGATATTTATGTCTTTTGTCTTTTCTTCTGTCCCATTTGGATCACTCCTTCTTGGTGGGGACTTCAATAGCTCAGCTATGCTCCTTTAGGAATTTACCAAAAAGGATAAACAAATCAAAGATACAGTACCATTGAATTTTATGCATGTACTCTCTGATTTGATTCAGACCATTGAATATTAATTAATTAATTAAGGAGACTTTTTGTTGCTCAATAACGAGAATTGAAACTAAAGTCAATCATCTCCACATGTCTTTAATTTGCATCACCATTCTTTCAACACTGTGGCTAAGAAGTATAGAATGCTTAGACATGCAGTTGTTTAATCTTAGCAAATTTAATTGCCAAAGTGTTTCATTCCAAATATATAATTGTGGATTTTTAAAAGGTCAAGATGATTATTATCTTTTAAGAAATAGTTTGGAGTACATACATATGTTCATTACTTATATATTTTTTTTGTTTTTACATTAGAAACTCACACACTCAATTATCACTATAGAAACTTGAATATTTATATTTCACTTTATTAGTTTCAAATTTAATTGCCAAAGTGTTTCATTCCAAATATATAATTGTCGTTTTTTACAAGGTCCAGATGATTATTATCTTCTAAGAAATAGTTTGGAGTATATACGTTTGTTCATTACTTATATTTTTTTTGTTTTTACATTAGAAACTCACACACTCAATTATTACTATAGAAACTTGAATATTTATATTTCACTTTATTAGTTTGGTGTTGATGAGTAATGTGAAGCTTGATAAATCAAAATTCAATTATGCAAATCTAACTTGAGGGATATTTTAGTATTTTGGCCTGAATTTTTTGAGAAGTATTTTGATAATTTTGACACTTGTTATGTTACTGAAATTTAAGGATTTGTTATATTACTAAAATTTAAGGATTTTTATTCATTCTAATCATTTTTTATCCGTACCTTTTTATCATCATAGTAAAATTTTTACATATCCAATGAGGTAACTCTAATTTTAAGTCAATTAAATAAAAATTAGTATATTCTTCTTGTATGATTAATCTATATATCTTTATTTTTTACTTAAATGCGCAACTGGTGCAAAATTCTAGAAGCTTTTGGAAAAATAGAGATAAGACTCAAAAGTTCTGTCCCATAGTTTGGAGTTTGTTATGGTCAACCCTTAAAAAATTAAATTCATTTGTCTGCAAACCTTGCAACAAATCCTTGTATTAGTGGCCTACATTCTGACTTATGCGTAAAATGAAAGTTTCCCATTGACAATGGACGACGACTAGCAATGCTAGCTACTGCATTATACAAACATACATTACAAGTCTACTAGTATGGACTTGACTAGCAAATTAGCAACGCTATAATATTAGTATTTTATTTATGATACACATGAGCTTAATTTATCCAATAAATACTCATACGAAACAATTAATCAGCATAAGTTGCATAACCCCATCTCAGAAGCATAATGCCTTTGCTTGCTTCCTCTAAAGTGAATTACATCTTGCCGATAAGTAGGGATGGAAACGTGTGGGTTTAAAATATATCTCTTTTCTGTCTCTTCCGTAATTAAGTTTTTTTTACTTTGTCTTTATCCGATTTAAAATTTAATTTAATATATATATTTTTTCTATTTAGTGTTTTCACTCAAAATTTTAAAAACTCATATTTGGAAATATAAACCAAATGAATGGAAAAGTTTCTATATAACATAAGATACACGGAGTATAAGGATAAAATAGTATTTTTACATTATAAATTGACAATTTTGTATTATAAATAAGGCCTATATTCGTGCGAGTTTTCACTTAACTTATTTTCGATCACTAAGTCACACGATTCTTTTCAATAAGTGTCACTCTTACGTTTTAAGTGCGCTCTCGCTCAAATTTTCATGGTTTATGATTTAATTTTATCGTTTTAAAATTTACTCTCATTCTCACTTTATGTGATTTATTTCTATCAATCTTCAAAATGGTTTTAGAGACAAAACGGACTATTTTGTCATCTTACCGACAAGACGTATTTGATGTCCCGAAATGAGCAGGCGCACTCATAACCATCCTTGGAAAAACACGAGGAGGCTGTTTCATGTAGCCATCAAAGCAGGACCATGGTGAGATCGCTGTTAACTTGACTATGATGAAGAGTCTAGAAATTTGAAGATGACTCTAGTTACAGTGTTATTACCATATAAGTAGCATATGGTAATTTCTTTTACTACTACTAGCTTATTCATTTGACCATATATATAAGAGTTTCCAATCATTTAGATGTCACATCAGACTTAAAAAAAAAACGTCCATATTTTCGGCCCTTACTGCTCTCTATACCAGACATTGGAATATGAAGCAGTGAGCACGTAGAGTTGAGGCTGTAAATGGTCCTCCATGTGGGCATCAATAATTTTCTTCCATTATAGCTCATAATAAAGAATGTCAACGTCCCAATTTCATTTTCTCTTTAATGCTTAGAGGCAAAAACTTAATTTTCTTCATCTAACAAAAAAAATAAAAATAAAAATAAAAAGACCTTCAGAAAAAAAATAATAATAAATTCAGTTACATCTGATAATGATAATGTTTTTATTCACTTATTTCTGCCTATATTTGTATGTGAGTCATGAGTTCAAGAGGTAAAGCCACTCCAAGTTTACTATATATGGAAAATTTGCATGTTTTTAAGATTTTAATGAATTGAAAAAAATACATGCATATAATTTTGTTGTATTTAGAGCACTAAATCAGCACTTTAAAATTAGAATTGAAAAAAATTCTGTTTAAAATCTAAATTAAGTGTCAATTTAGTGCTTTCAAACATAACGTTATGTACTTTGTGTAAATTTAACACGTTAATTCTGTGAACAACTTAATATAATCATTAGAATTAATGATTTTTTATATATAATTATACATTACGATAATTTTTGTTGGTCCATCTAGGTAGAGAGGGACCTCATAGATTAAGATTCTACAATTTATTTATTTATTTAAAAAAAAAATCAATTTTATAGAGAAACAGAGTCGACCTCAGTTCTAATTGTTCTGTTTCTTTAGGCTATGTTCGGCCTAAGGGTGTCAATTTTTACCGCCCTGTTAATAAATGATATGGGAATACTTTTTATACCGTTGGGACGGATATGGATACAAATTTTGTACCCGTCGAGGATCACGGGGCGAGTAAGGGTTCAGTATACATATCCTAGGGGCCCCGCCCCGCATATAACTATATTTAATATATATATATATATATATATATATATATATATATATATATATAATATTAATAAGTTATTTTAGCGGCTTACCCAATTACCCATCTCTTACAATCCTAATTTGGGATGTAAACTTGGTATTAAATTTGCTTTGTTTTGGTTATGGTGGAAGTTGGAGTTTAGAACTTCTTGTGATTTGGTTGTATTAAACTTTTATTTTTGTTTATTATATTCTTTGAATTATTTTATGTGCATGTTATTTTTTTTATTTTTGTTGGGATACATAATTTTATTTATGTTGTGCCATTTCTAGGCTTTGCACATTTAAATAGCAGGAGTTTAAGTTCCAAAAAGTGGAAGAAAAAAATTTGTTAGCGGGGCGGGCACAGTATTTCCTAACGGGGCGGGGCTGGACATGAAAATTCAACCCGTCGCGGGTCTCAGGGCGGGCATGGACTTGACAAAAATTAAAAGGGGCGGAGCGGAATTTAGGGAAACCTGCTCCAAACTCGCCTTGTTGCCATTCCTAATTCGGCCCATGGAATTGAAGTATTAAAATTGGAGAAAAGTGATTAAACCTGGAAAAAAAAGTGATTAAACACTCTTAAAAAAATAAAAAAAATAAGAACGATACTAATATGTGATCTCAATTTATACGGTGTGGTGAAGTTGGCATATGTTAAAAAATTTAATATTAAGAATCATGAATATATATGAAGAGTGTCCTTTTCCTTTTTTAATCAATAAAATCAATTGAAGCATTTGGAGTTCTAAGTTTTCATGATTTCTTCTTTTTATAAATAAAATAATAATAATAACAAGAAAATTGAAGATTTTTGGAAAACTGCCATTTGTTTTGTCCAAGATGGGCTGCGTTATGTTGGGCTACCTTTAACCATTATTGGGCTCAAATGTCTGCAATTGTTTGCTTCATTACGGGCCTTTCTATGGACCAGTCCATTTATGGACTACTGTACAAATTACATACTGATTAACATTACAAAAAAAAAAAAAAAAAAGAAAAAAAAAGAAAAAGAAAAAAAGAAAAATCGTTTGCCCGCCTTTTGAAGCTTGTACCTCCGCTTCGAATGTCATCTTTCCCCTTCTCTCTCTAGATGAAACCCTAACATGGAGATCACCGAAGAGCAGAGAAAGAGAGCCGAAGCAAACCGTCTAGCGGCCCTAGCGAAGCGCAAGGCAGTCGCAGAGTCTGCTTCTGCTACTACAGTGCAAGACTCGTGGAAACTCTTCAAATGCCGAAAGGTCTCTCTCGAACACAACACCAGTTTCCCAAAACCTACAATGCCCTCATCGTTCGACCCGTTTCTTCAACCCCATTTGCCGGAAAAATTTCGGGTCAGGCTCGAAATCTGCTCTCCTGATTCCTTCTATGTCACGCCCGAGGCTATCCAGGGTTTTACCTACCCTGGTGAAGCCGCTTGCTTGGAAAAATTAAGAGATTGCCTTTCGAATGTAAGAATTTCTAATTATGATATATCAGACACACACATATAATTTTACATATTTATGTGTGTGATAGTGTATATATAGTGTTCTTGACCACATATTACATCTGGAAATGCTGGAAGTGTCTTGATTTCGTGTCAATTTCTTTTATGTTGCATTTGAGAAATGCAGTTCAAAAGGGGCCGACATGGTGCTCCCAAACATAGTTTTTCTTTTTTACGGTTTAGGGTTTTACTTACATTTTTGCGTCCATTGATTAATTTAGTTATAGAATAATATTGTTTAGGTTGAATAACTGCAAAATTAAGTTAACTATCTTCACTGTATAAACGATCCTATTTGGTCAAATACCTAGCGACAAACTCATATGTTCCTTTCATTACGGTATTTCTGAACAAGTTCTTGGATAACAATATTGATGATGTGAATAGAAAAGTGACTTCAAATCTCGAAGGGCAGGAATACAAAATAAGTGAATGAACTGAGATATTTTTCTAGTCCTAATAGGATTCACTTACGAGAATATAAGGGGAAGACAACTCGTGCTGTCCTTTCACTCATTTGGATTCGGATGTGGATGCAGACCTTTATTTGGGCAATCTTGAAATGGATAGCGAGATTTTTCTAACCAGCTTAGATTTGTGTCAAGGTTTCAGACAGAAAGGAAATAAGATAAGCATGCCATGTGGTTTCTTTTTGCTCAAATTATAATAAATGCCTCAAAGACTGTCTAACATGGGTTTTGAATTTTGATCCCAAATTATTTTCTCTGTGGCTTTAATGAAAGTTAAGTATCATGATGGTCATTGTTACAGAGTTTTGAATAGTTCAGAATTTGGTTGATCCTATTCATTTTCATAGCTGCTTTAATTGTACTCTTCTTTTGCTTGAACTGTGAAAATCACATGCATAATCAATTGTGTAGGGAATTTTTGTTAATAAGTTAATTGCGTTGGGAAACTGATCATTTGTTTATTTATAACTTTTTGTTAGGTTGTACCATCACACTATACACAAAACCATGGTGGAGGAAAGGCTTGTGTTTATCGACTTACTGACTATGATGCGGTTCTGAGATGTTTGAAGAACTCTAAGGGCTTTGAATATGAAGAAATACCTTGGGTAACGCTTAATGTTGTCGAAAGACTTTCACATTCCTTCGTTGCAGGGCGATGGATGCCCTGCAGGCCAGAACATTTATCTGAAGAGAAGGTTGATGAATTGATAAACAACCTTCCAAAAAAGTTGCTAGATGCACTGCTGCCTTTCCAACTAGAAGGTGTGCGATTTGGACTTCAAAGGGGTGGTCGGTGTCTCATAGCTGATGAAATGGGGCTTGGGAAAACACTTCAGGTAACAATAAAATTTTACAAGCATTTCCTGTTCCCAATTTGTGATAGTGGAACATTCTTCTATTTTTGAGTGATGTTTATTTGCGTGCAAGCATTTCATGTTCCTAATTTGTTAAATAATTTGCGGATAAGCTAGAAGCACAGATACGAACACGGGATACGGGTACGATACGACACGGACATTGTGATACCTCAAATTAAAAAAAAATTAGGATACGAACACGACAAGGATACGGCAATAAAACAATAATATATTTTTATTATATATAAAACATTATTTTTATCTCAATTTCCCCTCCATTCATAACCCATTTAAATTAGTATCACTAAATATTTCAAATTTATTAAAAAGAATATAAGGGTACAAAAGCTCAAAAATTAATTCAGATACAAATAAATAGACATATCTTTATATCCAAAAGGTACAAAACTTAGCTTTGTGACCAAACATTGATAAAAGGTGATAAGAATGTAATCTTATCTTCTCTTTCTTTAACGCACGTCTGGCCTCTCTCTTCCGGTTGTTCTTTTCTCTTGCTCCATCTCTTCAGATCTCTCGGGCTGGAAATCAAGTCTTATCCACCAAAAACTTCAGTCTCTATTTTGTACCATGATTTGAATCTTGAATATTCTATTGATATTAAATATATATAACCATCTATACAGATATCATTTTCTTCTATTGGTTAAGAATAAGCCGTGTCCTCTAGGTGTCTCCGGCGTGTCGTCCGTCAAATCCCTTTCCTATTTAAAAATAAATAAAAAATGGACACGGCTGCAAGGTGTCAGACATGTGTCCAAGCTTCGGACACGCGTGTCCGTGTTGGACACTTGTTAGACACTGGTACGCTTACCCCAAGTCGCGTGTCGGTGCTTCATTGCAGATAAGAAATCTAGAGGAGTGATCAAGTTTTATATCATTTGGTATGCGTCATACTAAATGTGAATAATTTTCAGAACGTATTGAGATCTTGAAATGAGTACAATCCTATTGCATAGATTTTATTGTAATGTTACAACATTTGTAGAAGCATATCTAAGGTAACTGTACGTCTTTAGGTTGATACTGGATGCATGAAATTTATGGAGTACTCAAAATTCTCATGGATTGTATTATTATTTGAATATTGCAAGAGATTGCATTGTTTAATGAAGGAGGAAATCACCTTCTGATATATTTGGCTCAGTGGCCCTTTTGAGTATTCACATGATTGTCAGCCTTTTATTTTGGCCTTTTTCATTGTAGATTAACATGTAAATTGGTGAATGTTTGTGCATTAGGTGCCCTTGGGAAATTTCTGTCAATTAGTTGTTGATTTTGGAATCATTTAATAAGTATCTGGTATCTATTTTACTTCTGATATTTACAGCCAATGCACTTATAACGGTTTCTCTATAACAGGGATCATAAACTGGTTCAAACTAGAATTATCGCCCATCTTATACACTCTGTATTATCTTTATCATTTACATGAACTTATCATATATTATTTAAGATTTTCCACACTAAATTTATATATTTACATGTCAAACAGAGAGTATCCAGTTTTCTCTCATGTACACCATGTGATACATATCCCTCCAATAAGAGGTCATGATATGTTGCTAAATTATAATCCCCATTTGTTTTCAGGCCATTGCAATAGCATGCTGTTTCATGAGTGAAGGTTCTGTTCTTGTTGTTTGCCCAGCTATTTTGCGGTTTTCATGGGCAGAAGAGTTGGAGCGTTGGGTTCCTTTTTGCTTGCCTTCTGATATACATCTAGGTACTACTTTGAAATTCAGGGTTTTCTATCTTATTTATATACTTACCTTTTTAATTTTCCTCTGATGTGGAAAAAGTGGTATAATTGATCGGCTCATTGAACTGTTACCATTCTGCCTTGGTGGTTATGATTTGTTGTGAGTAATGCAGCCAAAAAGGTACGGATTTGCTGTTTGTTTGCTGCAATATGTGATAATCTACTCTTTTGGTGAGGTTCTAGCTCTATAACAAAATAAATAAGCAAAAGGAAGCAGTAAGGTTGAACATATAATTCATCCTACAAACCTTTAATTTGCAACCTTAGAATTAATTGAAAAGCTAGTTGTGAAGTTAAATCAACACAAGAAGGCAAGAACAAAGTTAGATAGGAAACTGAAGGTTGACATCACACCTGATAATAACCCAAAGCCCAGTAGACTAGTTGTCCTACTTGACTTTTACGTGAGTCAAATCTGCTCCTGCATCGGTTAGTTATATTGAAAACTAATTCTGAGAAAACTATTAGGTCATAACCCTAGGTTCTGATTAGAGTTCCGCAAGATCCGTGATCTAGACCTAGATGGGGGGTGAATAGGTCTCTATATTTTATCAAAATTTACTCTTAACAACCTACCTTTAACTGAATTTTGAATTTTAATTAAATAAACAGAAATTTAACAGTCCACTCAATTAACAAGTAAATAGATTAAACCTATCATTGTGATAATCATGCATATAGCAATAATAAAGCAATTCAATCACACATAGGACACTAGATTTTACTTGGAAAACTGAAATGGGGAAAACCGAAATGGGGAAAACCAAGGGCATCCAGACAGATAAAAAGTCACAATGTAGAGAGAGGTTTTATACTAAGCTACCATACTCTAATACAAGGATCCCTTAGCCCCTTCCAACTCAGACATATGCAGGACCAACCCCAAATCCTTCAGCTGTTGGTACATTGATAAATTTCGCTCGTCACAAACTTTGCTTCTCCACGGATCTTCTATCTCCTTGTCAGTAACATTGAACTGTATACGTAAGTTTTTTTTTTTTTGTTAAAATCCTTTCAGTGTAGTGACAGATACTTCGACACTCACCGATCCACTCACCATGCTAGATTTTTTATGATTGATGCAAAAGCACAAACCCAAGTAGTCAAGGGATTACCAGAGAGCACAAGCAATATGGATGAAAAGCTTATATGCAAAAGTATGCCCTAGAACTTTCACTAGCTATTCTCTCATTTTTTCTAAACAATGCATGCCTTTAAATAGAGAATAGAGTCAGAGAAACATAGGGTCTTGGAGTGGCGTAGTTCAAAAATGAAACTCAGAACCATAGCTACTCGATCAATCAAGCCAAGTGTTGATCGATTGACACAAGGCCATTAGGAGTTGGTGACTTAAACAATATATATATATATATATATATATATATATATATATATATATATATATATATATATATATATATATTTGTTTTGCTTTAATTGGCTGCTTGATAACTCTTAAGTCTTTTATTTGCTAGATTAGTCTTTTTGTTGCTATTTTGATGCAATCTCGAATTATATCTCGTTAATTAGTTCTTTTTCTTATTGATTGAAAATAAGATATTTACTCTAAGGGAGCTTGGAGGAGGACCTCAGTAGGGACACATTGAGATCTTAATATGTAGTACATAACGTGATCATCTTTTTCTTAACAAGGGAAAACCTGGTATACCTGCTTTAGCTCATTTTCATGTATCTTTCTCAAGCGGCAAAATAAATATTTAACTAAACAATATATGTTATAATGGCCGCCCAAGCTGGTATTCAACACCTACTAAAAAAAGGAGATCCGAGAACATGTGCCGCCAAATCTTTGTTTTTGCTTTATGTTTCAATTGTGTCATTTCAGAAGTGAAAACTTTATGCTACATAATTTCTTCTATGGTCAATACTATTGCTAAACTGCAAAACGTCTACTGCAAGTGGACTTGTTTTGCTGATTTCTAATGGTGCACTTGGTATAAAAGTTTTTATTGTCTTTGAGATTTCACGATTTTCAGCTATACACGTATTTATATTTCCATTAATGTGAAATTTACTTTTGTCTTCCATTCAATGTTATGAATCTTTTGATATTTCTTATGAATTTAATTCTTTTCCAGTTTTTGGTCATCAAAACAATCCTGCACATTTGAAAAGATGTCCAAGAGTTGTTGTTATTTCTTACACGATGCTTCACCGTTTACGACGAAGCATTTTGGAGAGAGAATGGGCAATCTTGATAGTAGATGAGTCACATCATGTTCGTTGCACGAAGAAACCATCAGAATCAGAGGAGGTGCTTGATTCTCTCTTGCCTGTTGGCAAAACACACACACACACACATATATATTAATTTATGTTGCGTTGCTTGCTATTTTTAAATGTGAAAGGAAAATTGTTTACTTACAGAATTTTTATTTTTATTTTTTATCTGAGGCCCTTAGAAAGACCTTCACATACAAAGAGCTTTCATTAATCTTTTGGGTATCTTACTTTTGTCTGCTAACAATTTCATATATATCAGAAATTGGATAATGGACCTAGTTGGCAAAAGACGTAATTGACTCCAAAAGAAGAAGTTTTGGGTTTTGGCTTACTCAAACCGAGAACCAAGATCTATATTTATATACAAGAATAGGGTATCTACGTGATCTTATCTATGTGATCCCATAATTATAGGGATCTTACGTAAAACACTCAATAAAAGGCGAAAAACAGTTAATAAAAATAAAATAATAATAATAAAGATATTTCAACACTCCCCCTCAAACTGGAGTGAAGATATCAATCAAACCCAGCTTGGTAATCGAGGAATGAAGCAAAGGTGGACCAATAGATTTGGTGAACACATCGGCCAACTGATTAGAGGAACGAACAAAGCACGGCTTGATAATTCCCGAACAAACCTTCTCTCTGATAAAATGAATGTCTACCTCTATATGTTTAGTCCTCTCATGAAGAACAGAATTTGAAGCAAGCATGGTGGTTGACGTATTATCACAAACAAGTCTGAGGACTGTTTTTCACCTAGCCCTAGCTCCTCCAAGAAAGATCGAAGCTAGAGAATCTCACAAGTACCCTGAGCCATGGCACGATACTTAGCCTTTGCTGAAGATCTCGAAACTACAGGTTGTTTTATACTTCTCCAGGATATAAGATGGTCTCCATAGAGAGTACAGAAGCCAGATGTGGAACGTATGTCAGTCTTGGACCCAGCATAGTTTGCATCACTGAAACAGGATAGCCCAACCTGTTTGCTAGAAGAATGGAATAATCCAAGTCTAGGACAGGACTTAAGATATCGAAGAATATGATATACCGCATCCATATGAGTTGTACGAGGAGCATGCATAACTGCTCACAAAACTAACCACAAAAGCCAAATCAGGATGGGGGTAAGATAAATCAATCTTCCTACCAAGCGCTGTTACTGCGAGGGATTAGAAAGGAGATCTCTGGACTTAGCCAAGATCTTCAGATTAGGATCCATAGGAATGGAAGCAGGTTTACACCCAAGCATACCCGTGTGTCGAAGAAGATCCAAAACATACTTCCTTTGCGATAAATAGATACCCTGCTTAGATCTAGCAACCTCAATTCCTAAGAAATATTTGAGCTGCCTAAGGTTTTTCACATCAAAAGCTTTAGCCAATTGAACCTCCAGTAATGATATCATCAACATAGACAAGCAGAATGATACATCGACCTTTGGAGGAACGGTGGATAAAACATGTATCGTCAGAATGATATCTAACAAACTCCATGGATATAATTACATCACTGAAGCATCTGAACCAAGCTCTGGGAGATTGTTTTAATCCATACAAGGACTTCCGCAATTGCAGACCTTTCTAGCATACTCCCCCTCAGCCTGAAAACCGGGTGGAGGATCCATGTAAATAGTCTTAAGAAGATATAACTATTAAGGAAAACATTCTTCACATCAAGCTGATGAAGAGGCCAATTGTGAGAGGCTGCCAGGGAGACAAGCAAACGAACTGAGGTCAATTTAGCCACTGGAGCGAAGGTATCATTAAAGTCTTTACTAGGAATCTAAGTAAACCCTTTGGCCACCAAAGAGGCTTTATACCGATTAATAGACCCATAAGCCAGATATTTAACACTGAATACCCATTTGCAACCAACAGTCTTTTCAGCAGGAGGGAGAGATTCAAGCTCCCATGTTTCATTATGCTGCAAAGCATCCATTACTACCTTCATAGCAGACATCCAATTGAGATTCCGGAGAGCCTCATACAACTTTCTGGGAATGGAAATGGAATCAAGTTTGCCTAGAAAGGCTCAGTAAGACCGTAAAAGATCATCATAAGAGATATACTGCGAAATAGGATGCTCAGTACTATAAGTGAATCCAAATCGAGTAGGGGGTTTGCGGTCCCAAGTGGGGTATCGAGACTCAGGAACAGGAACAGGGTCAGGGCAATGTAAAGGAGAGAGAGATGTACCTAAACCTGAATCTGAGGAGGATGACGACAGTGGAGGCGGAGCACGAGGGCGGTGTGAATAGACCTACAAAGGGAGTGAGGAAACCACAAGAGAAAACTCTTCTTGAAAAATAGGAAGAGGACAAGCAAGAGGAGAAGCCTCTCGATCGAGAGTAGAAGTTTCCTTCAAGATAGTGTTAGAACCATAAAAAGAGCTATGCTCATGAAAGGTGACATTAAGAGAGTGATACATGTGTTTGTTTGCTGGATCATAACACCGGTAACCTTTTAACATGGAAGAGTATCCTAAAAAGATACATTTAATGGTCTTGTCATCAAGTTTAGTACAAGAAGGCTACGATTCTGAACAAAACATGTACATCCAAACACCTGAGGTATGATGGAAAAAAGAGTAATATCAGGCTGAAGCACTTGTAAGGGTGCCTTACCATTTAAGACTCTACTAGGGGTACAATTAATGAGAAAAGTAGTTGTAAGAACTGTCATGTGCCAGTATGACTTTGGCACATTCATACCACTTAAAAGACATCGAACAACTGACATTAGTTGACATTAGTTGGGAAAGTAAGTTGATGAAGAATACTCTGTTGGTTAAGTTGAGACCGAAACTCATTGGAAACATATTCACGACCATGTCAGACCTAATATTCCTAACAACAGTTTTATATTGAGTTTTGATCATTTGGAGGAATGAGTAAACAAGGGAAAAACTTCAGATTTCTTTTTAAGTAAATATACCCATGTGCAACGGGAATAATCATCAATGAACGTGACATAGTAACGATGCCCCAAAAAAGCAGTAACAGGAGAAGGAACCCACACATCAGAATGTATGAGATCAAACATACTAGGTGCACGATGCATATGAGAAATATAACTGGTTCTAGTATGTTTAGAAAGCTCACAAATCTCACATTGAAACTTATTATCCTTACAAGCCATTATTAATGAAGGGAAAAGTAGACCTAAATACTGAAAGTTTACATGCCCAAGGCGAGCATGCCATAAACTTAAAGTCTGAAAAGAAAAATCATAAGACCTGGAAACTGGAAGAACAGAGGCTTGAAGGCTTTAAGCAAGTGGAGGTGTTGGTGGAGGATCCCTAAAGTAGTAGAGGCCATCGTGCTCATATCCCCGGCCAAGAATCCTCCTCGAGCACAGGTCCTTTAAAACATAGTAATGAGGAAAGAAAATCACTGTACAGTTTAGTGCTTTGTTAAGTTTGCTAACAAATAGAAGAATGAATGCAAAGTTAGGAACATAAAGAACAGATGACAAAATAATATCCCGGGGTAGATGAACATCTCCTTTGCTTCGAATAATGGTGGTTGACACATTGGTAGACTAACAGCCTGATTAACAGGGGTAACGGGAGTAGAAAATAATGACAACTCACTAGTCATGTGATCATTGGCTTCGGAATCCAGAACCCAAGTAGGTTTTCCCGCTTTAACATGATAAGTAGAAGGAGTACCTGTAGCTATAGTAGTTGTGGGAGTAGAAGAGCCGGCCCTGGTAGATAAGGCTCCAAACTGCTCCTGAAGATGACCAATCTGGGATCGTAACTCTTTGAAGTCTTGAAAAGAAGATGGTCTGGGAGGAGTTGAAGCAGAAGGGACAACAATCAGCGGAGTAGTATACCCACCAATAGTATTGGCTACTGCGGCAGTGCGGCCACGACCTGAAGATAAAATGTCCTTTTGGCTAGAATCACTCATATTACCAAAATAAAATAAGGCTAGTCCACATGTCGAAGAGGGACGAAAGAGAAAAACAAGACCGGAAAAATCGGCACTTTCCTCCAAATATGTTGCCGAACAAACATCGGCAGTCCACAAAGGAAAAAAAAAACACCAGAAGGACCCATAAAAAAACCTAAGGGAATTCTCCTAAAAAAGGAGTCAAAAACAGAGGGTTACTCGAGGGGTCCGGCGCAATGGCTGGGAGGAGAGAGGGAAAATGGAGAGAGGGTGAGAGAAGGTGGCGGCGTTGGGGAGGAAGATGGGGAGGCGAAGATATTTGTTTCGCATACCAAAAAGAAGAAGTGTTGGGTTTTGGCTTACTCAAACCGAGAGCCAAGATCTATATTTATATACAAGAATAGGGTATCTAGGTGATCTTATCTACGTGATCCCATGATTATAGGGATCTTACATAAAACACTCAATAAAAGGCTAAAAACAGCTAATAAAAATAAAAATAATAATAATAAAGATATTTCAACAAGTCCCTCTCTCCTCCTGATTTCCTAGATTTATCTTTGCCTAGTAAGCAGATTATCTGGTGTAGTTTGGGTGCTAATTGCTAAACAAATGACTGACCGCTAATCTTTTGTTTGTTTTTTCTTGTACTGATTTTTGATCAATAGGTCAGAGTAAGACTCTATTGTTGCTTTCCAGTGGGATATATTGCATGCTTATGAGTATTGGGCCTATTGGCATGCTCCAAATACATTTTAGTCATAAGTTATAACTGATATGTTGTCTTTACAAACATTATGTACATGAATGGGTAAAAGTCAATGAAGGACACTGATGGAAGCAATGCAGTACATAAGGATACAGTTTATTTTATTTTATTTTATTCTTTCCTTTTTCCTGCGACGGGAGGTATGGGGGTATCCAAGTAATTTCCATGATTTAATACATGTAATATATAAAAGATGCATCTAGGATTTCTAGAATGGTTTGTCACACTACTACACGTAATTTTGATAGGCAAACATTAAACACTTTCTGATGAGAAGAAATAAATGTAATCTTCTCCTTTACCCTGAAACATTTTTTGTCATCACCCTTTATGTAGTTAATTTACTAGATATATCAAAATG